CAAATCTCCCACAGCCTGGAGTGGATGAAAGCAGCTGAGGGATCCAACACTAAGGTGCCCTTAGACTAGTCCCTGAACCTCTCCACCAGTTGGGTTAGTGTAGATAAGCCCAGTCAGTGCTTGGCACTTGGATGCTCAGAATAATAACTGCTTTCGTCAACTTGGATCTAAACAGCATGAGTGAACTGCCTTCGGCAGCTAGGAGCTTTTGGCTGACTGTATTGCTGGGGAGGAGTGGGGTCAAGGGTGGTGGTCTTTGTTGAAGTTCAGGGTCAAAGATTCCAAGAGGGATGGGCCTTACCTGGATCTCATTGTATTCACCAGCTAAGCATGTCGGTTGGAGCCAAGAGAATCCTTAGGACAGAGGCTCTCAACTTGGGTGTACATTAATATATCACCTGAAAGCCCGGCTGGTGTGGCTCAGTGGTTGAGCACTGACCCATGCACCAAGAGGTCCCCTGTTCGATTCCTGGTCCAGGCACATGCCCAGGTTGTGGGCAAATCGCCAGCCGGGGGCATGCAAGAGACGGCCAATCAATCTCATCATTGTTTCTGTCTCCCACTCCCTTCCTCTCTCTCAAATCAATAAAGGAAAAAAAAAATTATATATATATATAATCACCTGAGAGCTTTCATAAAAGGCTGATGATTCTGTTCAGCCAGGCTGGAGTGGAGACTAGAGGAATCTGCATTTTATAAAACTCCCTAAGTGTTTCTAATATGCAGCGGGGGCCAGAGAGAGACGGAGTCTACTTCCTTTTCTACAGTGATGCTCAAGTTTTTGTAGCTAAAAAACAGTAAGAACACTTTTATGTTCATGGTACCTGACTGTCCTGTGAATTGAACATTATTTTTATTTTTTATGAGAGACAGTAGAGCTTCGTCTTCTGACTCCCTGTGTCCTTCCCACCGCACTACACTGTCCCCCTTCATTCCACTGAAGATTCCCTTATAGCCCCCCCCCCCCCCGCATGCAGCCACCAGGCTAACTGCTAGTCTTGCTAAGCCCCCCAAATAGCAGTATGTTCAGTTTCCAGAAGCAGGAAATGCTGGTTCTAGACTTCCACCTGAGACTGCACAATCCTTGTCTGCCTCCAAAGTAGCAACTCCAAAATACTTAGAGCTCTGGTACGCCCTTTCTGAGTCCAGAAAACAGCCAAGGATTCGCAGGTTTGAGTCTTCCCACTCCCACCTCGTGCATTGTTGCTTTTTTTTATTTTGCTGGGACCCAGATTTCTTTTCCTGCCACCCTAAGCTCCAGGAGACAAGAGCCTGTTTATTTTAATACCTGGTGTGGCACTTGGGAGAGATCACACCTCCCCCATTGTTACCCATTTCTACCTCCTGAACACAATCCTAAAATCCCAACCAGCCCCCAGACGTGTTATTAGCAACAAGGGTATTTCTTGAAGTTTCCGAATTGGCTCCAAACTTGCCATCTCAGTTTCTCCTTTAGCTTTGGCCCCACTATCCTTGATGCTACCAACAGGGCAAAGCTAATTCAGAGGCTCTTGAGACTCAGATGGATTTAATTTCCAGAAGTATCTTGTTGAGACAGGATTGCCCCAACACTCTGGGACTGAAAGAACTCCACTCACCACCCCCCTCAACCCCTACTACCTAGACAGTGGAGCAGGCTGTTAAAATCTAGCCTCTGGCTTTCCTTCCCTTATTGATTCACTCTCCACTGACAGTCAGAGGCTCCAGTATATGGCTGAACAGCCTCTGGAAGGCAGTGGGGTCCTCAGCTATGATAGAACATGGGCAGAGCAGGCAGGTTCAGGTCTTTGTCTTTTCTGTCCACTCTGTGTCTGGGCCTCAGATGCTGTGGGTGGGACCACACATCGGAACCAGAGCCACTTGAGGCTTAAGGTCAGACAGACCTGAGGACAGCATCTCTCAAACTCTCACCAGGGTTATCCTAATGATAGAGGAGAGTGAACAGGCCCCTGGGTATACATTCTTAGCCCAAAGTGCCTCTCAGCAAACCGAAATGACTTAACTGAATCTTAAATTCAGGCAAATTTTGCATTTTATGTTAATACTATGGTTGTTTTATATAACATATAATGCTCTAAATGCCCTACCACTGGAGGCCAGTATGAGGCTCCATAATTAACCTGTGGCTCCGTGTTCCCCTAGTACATTGGTTCTCAACCTGTGGGTCGCGACCCATTTGGGGGTCTAACGACCCTTTCACAGGGGTCGCCTAAGACATAACAGTAGCAAAATTACAGCTCTGAAGTAGCAACAAAAATAATTATATGGTTGGGGGTCACCACAACATGAACTGTTTTAAAGGGTTGCAGCATTGGGAAGGTTGAGAACCACTGCCCTAGTATATATAACTAGAAGATTGGCCCCAAGGTATGAGTGTGAGCATAGCACAGTTTCTAATGTCTAGTCCACTTGGTCTGAAATAAAACCAGAATGTAGGATTATGGTCCAGGGGAGTAGGCACAAAGTTTAGGATCCTCAGGAGAGTAAGGATTAAAGATGTTCAGATACATCTGGGAGATGGATAGTGCCCTAGATGATTTAATCAAATTAGGAGGCACTCTGACCATTCGGATTCCATGGGGCCAGTAAATCTGCTTCCTCTCCCCAAAAGTGGCCCTCTAGGAGGAAGTCCTGTCCTCTGTCCTGTATTTGCTTTTAGCTACTGCTGTGACCATTCTCTTCTTACCCTACCCTAACTCTCTATGAATGGCCGTGTGTCTCTACAGGAGAAAAGGAAAAGCCCACCGGAAACTTCCCACATGCCAGGTGCTGTGTTAAGGACTTTACACAGGGCAGCCCATTTTTGCCGTAGGGGTCACACCTCCCATTTTACAAACAAGGTAATTGGAGTTCTGAGAGTTTGAGTTACAGTACTTGCCTTCAGTCCCATAGTAATTGGTGAAGCCAGGTTTTAAATCCAGATCTGTCTGATTATGAACTTTGGCTCATAACCACTGTGCTTTTTTTTATATATATATTTTTTCTTGATTTTAATATTTTTTACTTAGAGAGAGAGGAACAGAGAGAGAGAGATAGAAACATCAATGAGAGAGAACATCGATTGGCTGCCTCCTGCATGCCCCGCAATGGGGATCGGGCCCACAACCTGGGCATGTGCCCTGACCAGGAATCGAACTGGTGACCTCTTGGTGCAGGGTCGATGCTCAACCACTGAGCCACACCAGCTGGGCTTTTTTTTTTTTTTTTTAAGAAAGGCAGACTGCCATGTGCAGCACCTCATTTGGATGTGTCTGGAGTCTTGGAAGCTTGACTACCCTATGTTCTCCTACAAATGGACCTTGAGAGCTTGTTTGGAGGTTCTAGCAGGGGAGCGCAGCTATTCCTATACCCTTGACTGTAGACTGGTCCTCTCCTCTGGGGGGAAGGTCGTCTTCTTCAACCTAGCACGCAGCTTCGGGAGGGACGCACATGGATCGGTTGAAGGAGGAGGGGGACTACTGCCTAGCCAGCCAGATCAGCCGAATCAACCCTGGTGATCAGTGGGGTGACAGATGTCGCAGCCAGATCACCCTCACATCCACCACTATGCTTTCTGTCTGGACAGGAGAGAAGAGGGAGCAATTGGGAAGGTTCCCAAAGTGCAGAGCCCAAAGAAAGGCGGAAAACTGGGTTTCGTGAGGAAACCGTGGCCCACAAGTAATAGAAAATCTAGAAAGTCATAGTAGGAGATGCTGGGTTCCAGAGGTAAAAACATGTTTTAGAGCTTCCCCCCACCTCCTCCTCCCAGCCCTCCAAGCATCTAAAATACAACTGTGACCAGGTTGCTACCCTGCTTCAAAACCCTTCAATGCCTTCCCATCCAGCGCAGGGATAGATCCAAACTCCTTACCTAGCAATCAAGGCCTTTGTGACTTCACCTCAACCAGCTGAGCCTCCTCTCACCATGCTTCCTGCCCACTGGGTGCAGGTCTGGCTCCTGGACTCGCTTTCAAGCCTCTGTAATTGTTCTCACCTACAAGCCCTCCTCTTCCACCACATCCTCCACCCTGCCACCCAAGTCCATTTTTTTTGAGGCTCCTTCCCTGAAAGTTGCCTCCACTGACTCCTCTAACTAGTTGGTCTGCTCCCTCTGCCTTTCCTCAGAACCTGGACTTGGCACACAGCACTTATCAGCGCTGCGTGACTGCTTCTGGTCACTCCAGGAGACTAAGCACCACTCCACTCCACGCTCATGGGCGGCTGCCCAGCTAGGGACTCCCAATCTTTATATTCCACATTGTGCACTTAAGACAGGCTACTCAGATTCTCTCAGCCTCAGCTGTACATCACCTGTAAAACGGGAGAGACAAACTCTATCTCATAGAATTGTGAGGATGAAATTTGAGGATACAGGCAACGCTCAGAGCAGGTTGTCTGGCACACAGTAGATGCTCATAAATGTTAGCTCTTGATGATGAATGACTCTGATCAAACGATTGTTTTAGAATAAATGCATGGGTGATTCTGCCCTCTGGTATCTGCCAGTCTGGGGAGGAGAGGGGAGCAGTCGCTTTTAGGGTTGTGGAGGTCATGCATTGGAAGGAGATCCGCTTTGCTCTGTGCTAGCCTGGTCTGGAGTGAAGCAAAGGCATTAGGGCCTCCCCGATCCCTTCCTCCCACCCCTCCAGGTTAGAGCTAAAAATATCGCAAGGAGAGTCGGGAGTGGGTGAAGGTCGCATCTGGGGATTAAAGGATTCGTCCAGGGTCGCCCTAGCGAATATGTCAGGCTCGGGGACCCAGCGGAATGCCACCCAGTCCCCGCCCCCCGCCCCCCGCGCGCCCCGCCCCGCCCCGCCCCGCCCCGGGCGCCCTCCTCCCTCCCTCCCTCCTTCCAGCGCTAGCGGGCGGCGCGCTCCGGAGAGGGAGAGCCGGCTGGAGGTGCTACCCCTCCTGAGCCCGCACCTGCCCCCCGCGCCCGCCTCTGAGCCCGCCCCGACCGGGCAGCCGGGGGCCCCCTTCCCTCTCCCCCCGGGCCGGGGAGCCGGGGGGCAGCGCCGGAGCCCGGGGGGAGCGCGGCCCCGCCGGACGGCCGGCCAGGGCTGGGGGCAGCTAGGACGGCCCCGGGTAAGCGGCGGGCGGCGGGGGACGCGGGCGGGGCAGGGACCGGGCTGGGTCGGGCCGGGGACGGTGCGGGGTCGGGGTAGGTGAGGGGAACGGCCGGGGCGACTGGTGCCTGGTTTTGGAGGGAGGAGGGGGCCGGCGGGCTGGCAGGGAAGCGGCGCGGGGCGGCCACGTGAGAGCTGGAGCTGGGGGTGGGGGTTGCCTGCAAGGTGCTGGAGGCGGAGAGCAGGCTGGGCTCTGACACCCCCCTCCCAAACTCCTACCAATCAGGTCATGGGTAGCCCAGCATCCTTCGAAGCCCCCACCCACCCACTCCCACATGAACGTGGTGGGGACAAACAGCAGGCAGACGTGTGACTCGGCCCACGGATCCAAAAGGCCAGGTGCTCATTCTGGGGCAGAGACTCCGATGTCCAGGCCGAAGGGGAGGACGAGAAGCAGGCTTTGGCCCCTCTGTGTGTCCCCAGTCTCTTGCAGGGCTCTGTCTGCAGACTCACTGCAGAGCGCAGGCCTTGGGGAGGGAGTGCTGAGGGGCTGGGCCCTGCTTCTCTGGACAGCCCCCTTTCACCACCACCCTGCTGGGGATGCTGGAGTAATAAACACTTAGACCCAGGACCCCTGCGTGGGAAGAAGGAGGGGGCACCCATCACCTCTGAGTCAGGGATAGGGCCACACTTGGGCCTTGTGAGTTCCAGGAGGCTGCCCCAGCCGAGGGGCCTCTTTGCACCCTTCCCTGGCTCTAGCACTGTGCCCTGCTTTTATTTCCCTGTTATCTCCCCACCTCCAAAGACTGATTTCTAGGCAGGGAGTGTGGTGATCAGGAGAATATGCAGGTAGGGTACATGCGAGATACCTCTAAGTTGCCACACCCAGAGAGAGGCAGAGGACTCTTCTTGGATTCCTTGCCCTCTCTTCCTCCCCTAGGATGTCCCTCTCCCCACCTGCTTGTGCTGGTTATGTAATTAACCCAGCTGGGGCTCTCTGCCAAGCTGATAGTGTCCAGGAGGGGCTGAGGGCCTGGAGGAGTTTATGGGGAGGAGGACTAGTACTTACCCCAGTTGGGAGCCCATAAACACCTGTTGAGAAGAAGACACTACATGGAGCAGGAAGGGGAGCGGGGTCCTAGTCTTAGTTGACAGCTCAGCTGGCTCTGTGGTCTTCCCTTTCCTAAGTCTCTGGGTTTTTTTGTGTGTTTTTTTGGTTATTCAATAAAATGGGTGAAAGACTCACACACAAAACATGTATGTGAGCAATAGTGGATAGTGACCCAACCCAGAATTGCTAGGAGGTGCTAGCAACCTTAGATGAAAGAAGAACCCCTGTCTATCACAATGGCCATTCTTCATTGAACCTACTCTGTGCCAGGCATTGGCTTTACCTGTACAACCTCACCACACCCTGTGAAGTTTGTTGCCCAGGTTCATACTTGAGGTAAGCAGCAGAGCTGGGAATCCAACCATGGTGGGTCTCACTCCCAATCCTGCTCTTTATTTACTATGCTGTTGGTACACATACCTAGTGGATCAGGTCCTCTGAACCAGGACAGACGGAGGTACATTCAGCTCTGAACTGTGCGTGTGTGGAAAGAACTTGCACCCACACAGAAAACACACAGCCTTTTATTTCCCTATTATCTCCCCACACAGCCTGAAAAGCACAGCCCTGTTGAAATCCAACAAACCCTTCTACCCTGGACCCATTCAGAAGGCACCGGTGTCATCCTTCCTGGGAACAGTCCCCAAACAGGAGGTCTCAGACATGTAGCAGCCTCCCTGGTCACCATCTCCCCCAAAAAGAGAAGGCACCTAGCTAAGAAATTTAAGTAGCCCTGGCTAGTTTGGCTCAGCCGTTAGAGCATCGGCCCGAGGACCAACGAGTCGCGGGTTCAATTCCAGTCAAGGGCACGTACCTCAGTTGTGGTTCTCCCCCTACCCTGGTCGAGTCATGCGGGAGACAATCAGTTGATGTGTCTCTCTCACATTGATGTTACTCCCTCCCTCCCTCCTACTCTATCTGAAGATAAATAGAAAATTATCCTCGGGTGAGGATTTAAAAAGCAAAAAAAAGAAAAAGAAATGTACGTAGATTATCTCAGAAGCATGGGCTATTGACCTGTTTAATATATGAGCAGAGCATGGTTCAGATTGGGCAGGGGATTTGCCAGCTGACCCACAGCTAGAAAAGAGCTGGGTTTATACCCGATCTCTAAAGTCACTGAAACTGAGCAAGCAAGGAGCTAACGAATCCATGGCAAGGTCCGACCTTGTGGCATCCCTTTCCTGACTGCCAGCACACCTGCTGTGTGCTAGGCCCTCTGGACTCGAGGTTGCCAGAGAATCAGACACAGCCCTTGACCTGTAGGCATTTACCAGATGGAAGAACTGAACTTAGAAGTACTGCGACATTGTAGAAAGAAGTAGCTGGCATTCCCAACTGTGTGCCTGGGTACATTTCTTACTCCCTCTGAGCCTTCTCTCTAAAGTGGGAATACCTATCTTGGAGGGATATTGTCTTCAGAGGAGAACCTTGTGGGCATGTAGCTAACAGTAAGTGCTCAACAGGTGTTGCCCTCCAGAGCCAAGTGGTCATCTAGTCCATGGCCTGAATGGGAGCATTTGCAAATGCAGGGCGGGGGCATTTTGGGTCTTCATGGTGACTGGAAGCTGTCGCTGGCAGTGGAGATGCAGAACATCTTGCAGTGTGCCAACAGTCCTGCTCAGTGAAGAATTCTCTCTCTAACAAATGCCAGGCATGTCTCCACTGAGACACACTGGCCTAGGCTCACCCCTGGGGAGGAGGTCCAGACAAGTCCTGGGCTTCTGGGGAAGCTGGGCCCTGGAGCTCTCCACTGCTCTGCAGCCTGCCTCGGTTGGCCAAAAGTCAGATCATAATACAAGTCATGAAAGATTGATTCCCTGTGGTGGGAGGACAGGAAAAAATGAAGGCAGGATGGAGAGGATTTCAGTAGATAAGATAGGGGTTCTGGGCAAGGAGAGATATTTTGAGTGGCAGTAACAGCTTCAGCAAAGATGCTGAAGCCAGCCCACCGAGCCTACCTCTTGTCCCCACAGTCCAGGTGGAGGCTGCAGAAAGCCCAGGGCGGGCAGGGGCAGCAATGATTGGTCCTGACGGTGGCTGAGCCCCCAGCCCCTGGAATATGCAGCCCGGGGGAGCCCCAGGCAGCGGTGAGGACAAGGTGGCGGCGCGGGGGAGGCATGGTCTCCACCTACCGGGTGGCTGTGCTGGGGGCTCGAGGCGTGGGCAAGAGTGCCATCGTGCGCCAGTTCCTGTACAACGAGTTCAGCGAGGTCTGCGTGCCCACCACCGCCCGCCGCCTCTACCTGCCTGCTGTTGTCATGAATGGCCACGTGCACGACCTCCAGATCCTAGACTTCCCGCCCATCAGCGCCTTCCCTGTCAACACGCTGCAGGTAGGAGGGCCCACGGGGCAGGGGGTAGTGGGGGAGGGGGGGGGAGACGGGACTCCAGCCCTCCCCAGTCTGGGGCCCTGTTTTCAGGCCTCCACTGTTGGCTTTGAGAGCTCTGCACTACACCATGGGCCACCCTGATTAGAGCTGTACCAGGAATCCATTTATTTGTGTGCTGGTTTATTCTACAAGTACTCGATGAGCATGCTAATGTGTGCCAGGCTCTGTAGTAGACACGGGTAGAATGGTCTGTAGAAGGGACAGCAGAAGAGAAGGCCAGGACCTAGGAAAGGTGTGCTCAGAGACAGGTCTCTTAAGTGATGCTCTGGCCCTGCTCTCAGGCCAGCTGGCACCCTTCCTGCAGGGGTTATATTCAGATGCCCCCAGTGCCCAGCTTACAGCGCTCCTTCCCCAAACTTGCAGGGACCAAGTCTCCTTTCTTCTGTCTCCTTTGGGCTTGAGAGGGGGTAGGTGTGTGGGGAGGCTGAGCTCTAAGACACATTTGCTCACCGAAGGGAGCCCCTAACCAGAGCGTGCAGAGGTTTTGCACAGTGGTGGAGACAGGAAGGCAGGGGCCCTGGCTTGGCCAGTGTAATTGCAAATACAGCAATCTCTCAAGTAGGGGCCGCGGAGGGACTCGGGCTCAGCAATGTCTCAGCAACTCTGGGCAGGAGGGCCTTGGACCAACCTCAAGGATGCTTGTTTCTGCCATCTCAGGTACAAGGGATCCGCACCAAAGACAAGCCTGATCCAAGCACCCACCCCTTGGGAACAGTGAGGTCAGGGCCGTGGGTCTAGGGTCACGAGACTTTAACAGTACACTCCGTCTCAGGTCTCACTCCAGTCCTGCACATTGAGCTTTGTGCATTTTTCACATTTTGTTGTGTGCTTTATTTTAATTTAATTTGAAGTTTGGCATAGGTAAACCACAATTTAAAACTCCAAACTTGGTAAAAAGGTACATCCAGAAAAATCTCGGTCCCACCCCCGCCCTCGTCACCCTGATTCTCGCCCCACTTTCTAAAGCCATTTTCATTGGTTTTTTATTCATACTTCCGGTGTTTCTTTACACAAATAAGAAAATGTATTCTTAGTCCACTCCCTGTCTTACATTAAACAAAGAAAAAAAGCTGTTCTGGACCTTGTTTTTTTGACTTAACATTATAACCTGGAGATCTTTCCATGTCAGTAGCTAGGGGTCATCTTCATTCTTTTTTTTATGACTATGTTGTATTCCATTGGAGAGATTAGGGAGTTCCCCGCTTCTTGGACAAGTGGGTTGTTTCCCATCTTTTGCTATTTCAGACAGTGTCACAATGAGTCGGCTTGTACACAGCCATTTAGTACACAGGGAGAAGTATATCTGTGGATTTCTGGAAAGGCATTGCTTAGATCAAAGGGGAAATGCACCTGAAGTTTGGAAGGTGTCAGAGTCCCCTCCTCCTCTGTACAGTTGCAGTATACATGAATGCTGTTTCTCCCAAAGCCTTTTGTTTAACAAATGATTTGAGAGAGAAAGAGAAAGAGAGAGATTTGTTGTTCGATGTATTGATGCATTTATTGGTTTCTTGTATGTGCCTTGACCGGGGATCGAACCTGCAAATGTGGCATATCAGGACAATGTTCTAATCAATTGAGCTACCTGGCCAGGGCTCCCCAGAGCCTTGCCATCAGAGTGTATGGTCAAACTTTAGAATTTTTGACAATCTGATAAATGAGATTTGATAGTCTTAGTTTAGTTTTTATTTGCATCTTTGATGAGTGAAGTTGAGCATCTTTTCATATGTTTAAGGGCCTTTGTATTTCTTTTTCTGACAACTAGTAATGCCCTTTGCCCATCTTTCTATTGGATTGTTGGCCTTTTTCTTTCTGGTTGACCCTGAGTTTTGGACCCTTCAGGATGTCCAAGACTCCACTCCTGGAGCACAGGTAAGGGATTTTGAGCAGAGAAGTACCGAGAAGCCTCAGAGATCAAATATGAAACCCAGTATCCTGGTGGCCACCTTCTGAAAATTGAATAAAAATACATTCTTCCCCAATTTGACATGGAATCCAGCCCAGAAAAGTGGTGTTTCCTGTGTTCTGAGCCTCAAATGTTCCCTCCACAGACCCCTCTCCTCCTATCAGAGAAGGGAGCATGCAACCCACCAAAGGAATGAGCGGCATATGCATGGTTGAGGCCCAGGTGTTGAACCTTCCTCAACTCCCATGTCCTTGGAACGGGACTCAGTCTCCATCGCTCCTTCTCATGTTTTGACACAGCCCCAAGGTGGTCTTCAACCTGGAACAGTTCATAGAGCAAGATGGAAGGAAAGCTGAGCTTTCTTATTCCTTCTCTTCAACCAGGGGTGAAGGGACAAGCCAACCAACCTGGAGCCTCCCTCCTCTTCCTTTTAGGAGCCTCCAGAGAGAAACGGGTGGGAAGCAGCTGGGAGGCCCCCTCGAGGAGGCAGCATGTTGAGGAAGAGGTGGGGCTGTCACCTGGAAGGCTGGCAGCTGTTTCTTCTCCCCAGCAGAGAGCTGGGAGCGGTGCGAGCCTCTGCGCCTGTTTCCCCATTCCTCCCACTTCCCACTCATCTCCACTCCCATGTGGGTTGGGGGAGGAACCACGTACAAGTGTGGGTCCTAAGCTGCTGGAGCGCGCTGTGTCCCGCAGAATGCTGTTTTCCCTGGCCCAAGAAGCCAGTTAATGGTTCCTACAGTTTTAGATTTGTCCTCAGTATCTTCTCCCTGCACCAAAGTTAAGACTCAGCACAAAGAAAAGATGCCACATCATCTCCCTGGGGAAATCTACTGCAGCAGCTTCTAAGCCTTTGAGTTGGGAAGAACCTATCTGGAGTCAGACATAACTCTACCACCGCCACCAAAGTCTTTCCCTTCTTATTCCTTCTGTGGGGTGGAGAGCTAGCGGTGGTCTTCCTTTATGCCAGGTCTTTGCCCCAGCTCAACTCACAAGCTGGCACAGGAGATATGCCTGTATCTCCTTCTCATCTTCTGTCTGGCCCCCCAAGGGAGAAGACTCTGTTCCCCTTACCCTTGAAGGCCTCTACTTCCTCCAGCTGCAGAGACCACCTTCTTTCTGCACACTGGCTGCCTTCAACTGCTCTTGCAGTTGCAATCAGCTGGCAAGTTAATTAGCTAATTAATTCTTAAAGAACCTTCTCTTTAGTGCGCTCAGCCTTTCCAGGGGTCTATTCATCTTGAGCTGCAACCCCACCCTGAGAATTTGCCACAAGCATTCAGGAAGTTCCGGCTCCCTGGAGCTGTCCTGGGACCCTGCTCTGCATTGGCCCCCATTATGCATCCAGTTTCAGTCTTTCTCCTCAGGACTTCTCCTCAACACTAAGGGCACAGTGGAACCTACAGAAGGGACACATCAGGTAGCAATCTAAGGGCAGTGTTATAGGCAGGAGTTGCATTGATCCCAGCATGGGCCAGTTGGGGTTCAGGACCATGGAGAGCTCACCGGGTTAACAGTGCAATTAAGGAGCCTGCCAAGAGCCAATACAGTGCGCGGCACTGCGTGGGAAGGAGGAGGTATGTGAAAATGAGGGTGGCTTGGCTCTGGCTCTTTCAGGAGCTCAGGGCCAAAGTGGGGAGCTAGGGATAGAAACAGCTGTAACCAAGGTATACTCACAGGAGATGAAGGGAGTAGTCCCCTGCTTGTAGGGTTTTTTGGAGGAGGACGCATTTGAGCTGAGCCTTAGAAGACAGAGACTATTTCAACAGGTCCAACAGCTAGTTCAGGGCTGGGCTCTTAGAGACACTTAATAAATGTACTTGAAAAAAAGATGGATGAATGGATGGATGGATGGATGGAAGAACAGATTAATGGATTGGCGGACAAAATGGGACAAGGCAGATCTCAGCTCCAGATCCTCACAGGGCCGTGCAGTGGTCATCGAGGTCAGACAGCATGATCTGCCTTGTCCTAGCTTGGGGTGGAGAAGCCACAGCACTGAGCTTTATTCTGCTCTGGCTCTGGCTTCCTGGAGATGGGTGGGTGTGGAAGGCTTAGGATGAGTGGCAAGTGAGAGTGCTGTCAGTCTATGGAGGTGGCTAGGGGCAAGGGGTGCCCTCGTGGCTGCTCTAACCTTGGCACTGACTGAGGGTATTGCAGGAGTGGGCAGACGCCTGCTGCAGGGGACTCCGGAGCGTCCACGCCTACATCCTGGTCTACGACATCTGCTGCTTTGACAGTTTTGAGTACGTCAAGACCATTCGCCAGCAGATCCTAGAGACGAGGTGAGGGCCCAGGACACCGTCCATTGCCATCTCAGTGGAGGCCCCAGTGCTAGCCAGTTCCCATGAAAAGGGTGTGGTGGAGGGGTGCAGATGAAGAACCCTCCAGTTCCCACACATACGCTCAAACAAACACACACGACATTTTGTTGTCCCCATTTCTTTTAGCTCATTTTGGAACCCTTACCATGGGGTGGCTAGTGCAGTGGTTAGATCAGGGGCTCCAGGAAAAAGACTGCCGAGACCTCAGCTGCATGACCTCAGGCCAGTGAACGTGTAAGCCTCAGGTTCCTCATCTGTAAAATGGGGGTAACAATAGTACTCCCCTTTTGGATCAATTGTGCAGATTAGAGAATGTAATGTACCTCCAGAGCTAAGCCCTGCGCCTGGAATAGATGGATGGTAGTACTATTATTGACCAGGCACAGCCTGCCCTCATTGAAGTCTAGCGGCTGCGACACTGGTGGAGTTCTGAGAGTCCCACCTCGCCCCCCAGGGTGATTGGCACCTCGGAGACGCCCATCATCATCGTGGGCAATAAGCGGGACCTGCAGCGCGGACGCGTGATTCCGCGCTGGAACGTGTCACACCTGGTGCGCAAGACCTGGAAGTGTGGCTACGTGGAGTGCTCGGCCAAGTACAACTGGCACATCCTGCTGCTCTTCAGCGAGCTGCTCAAGAGCGTCGGCTGCGCCCGCTGCAAACACGTGCACGCTGCCCTGCGCTTCCAGGGCGCGCTGCGCCGCAACCGCTGCGCCGTCATGTGACGCGCGCCCACCCCACCGCCCCGAGGGCTCCCGCGGGCTGTAGCCGCACCGCTGGGGCGGCTTCCTCATGGGACTGCGGGGCTTGAGCGGCGACTGGCAGGAATAGGACTCTGATGGCCCGGGCCTGAAACGCCCCAGCAGCCATGCACCTCCCCGCGAGAGGCAGAGGACGAGAGGGAGCCTCCCCATTAATGCTCAGTCCTCCCCTCTCTGGCATCTGTCTTCCCGGGACGGCCTCCTTTAGGGCTGTAGTTAGAGCAGTACCCAGCCTGGCCCCCAGGGGCGCCACAGCCTTTTGAGATTGGGGTGAGCGCAGGAAATGGAGGGTGGGGGCGGGGAGGTGTTGCCTTAGCCGGTCTCCCACCAGTCTTATCCAGAGAGTGTGTCTGTCATTGCCCCGCGTCTTCCTCCCGTGTCCGTCGTTCTGCCCTAGTGTCTCTTGGTCAGTAGCTGTCTTTTCCACCGTCTGGTCCGCCCCTCTCCCACAACTCCGTTCACAGGGCTCTCATTCCGTCCATCCCCCTGCTGCAGATCCTGGCAGCTTCCGTGTGAGGCCTGCCTTCTGACCGTCAGCACCACCGGCGCAGGACAGATGCGGGTGGTCCAAGGACCACAGCCGGTCCGAGGGTTGAGGTCCCAGATTAGTCAGGGGGAGAAAGCTGAGCTCTACCCTCTCCAGGGAGACCTCCCCACCCAGCAGTCCCCAGAGACACAACAACCTACCTTCCAGCCTTAACTCGATGGTCCGTCCCTGCCGGGTACCCCTCACCCCTTTCCTGACCCCAAAACCAGATCACCCCCTGGGTTAAAACTTTTTTTTGAATGGACAGGGAATCACCCCAAAGAATGGCTTTACTTCCATGATGCCAGGTTCCAGCCCCCTATTCCTACCTGCGTTTGGGTGGTTTGTTAGACTGGGGGGTGTTGGGTTTGGGGAGCTGTGAGCAGGCTAGTTCCCGGGGTGGGGGTTGGGAGGCTTGGTTGTGCCAGTGAAGGCTCTGTTTTTCCATCTCACCCCAGTTTGATGCCCCAGACTGACTGACTGAATCTCAGATTACCCTGATTAATCTGGGGAGGTATACAGCCAGATAAAAATTGTGGGGACCCCTTGCTTGAGGGAGATATGCCCGCATTCCCACTCCTAGATGAAGGCCCTCAGGATCTACTCTCCCTTGTCCCAATACCAGTTGGCCCTATGCCCTGACTCTGCCCCATTTTCTCTGGCTGTCTGGCCAGGTTTCTACCTCTCCTTACCAGAGCTGATCACTGTCAGTTTTGTACTGATTTAGAAATAAAAATAATGAAGATACCAGGAGTGGCCTGAGGGATTCCTGGGGGACGTGGAGGGCATGAAATGGTGCATGTCCCCTGCCCTCAGGCCAAGTTCTCCTTGAGGCTGAACCCTCAATCCTGGTCTGATGGGAGAATAGCAAGGTCCCTTGTTAGAAGAGGGCCAGATAGACCAACCCAGCCTCAACCTGGTCCAGCTTCGTTGTATAGACCAGGAAATCAGGTAGCCCAGAGCCATGATGGAGAGGAGTCTGGGGGAGGGGTTGTGGGTGGGCAGTTTATCATCCAGACCCAGCGTGAGAGGGAATCTGTGAGTTCCCCAGCTGGTTCCCCCTTCACCCACCTGGGTAGCACAGGCCTACAGTGACCACACTGACCTTGGACAGCCCAGTACTCCTGGGTTCTAGTCCCTGCTGTGCTACATGACTTTGGGCAAGTGCCCTGTCCTCTGAGCCTCCCTCTGAAGCAGAGGATGTGGCTCCCCTTCCTCACACCCTGGAGTGGCTTCACCCCCTGCATCCTGCTCCCTGGTTCACCAGAGTGACAGGATAAGGGATGGCAGCATCTCACCATCACTGTCCCCCCAGCTCTGAGGCACCTGAAGTGGGGGGTGGGGGAACCAGGCCTCTGGCTGCCCCTGTGGGAGCCATTGGAATGTATCTGCCTGACCAGCCCACCTCAGCCCCTCTGCTTCTCCCCAGGTCTTTGATTTCTATTCCCTCTACCCCCACACTGAGTCTCTGTCCTCCCTACCTCCCCCCACCCACCCAGGGTTTCCCACCACAGGGTCTGGAAGTGTGTGTGACGCCCATTGCGCTGTGATCGGAAGTCAGATTAAAAATCAGGGATTGTTTTCCCTCGTTTCTGTATCAAGGTGTTGGCTCAGTTTCTGAAGGTGGAAGGGAAGGGACTCCCTACAGAGCTCTGCTGGGCCAGGAGGACGAGGGTGACAAGGTGTCCCTGAGTCCCAAAGCCCAGGTCAGCCAGAAAAACGAAGGGGAAGAGTTTGGGATGCATCTCCTCTCCACCTGCCCCTGAGCCCTCCCACTGATCAAAACCATCCAGAGGTGAAGCATAACATCTCCCTTTGCCACTCAGGAAAACGTTCACAATTGAACTCAAACCCAGTTTCTGCTTCTGTGCCTTTGTCTTGCTTGCTGCGGAGCCTCTGTGACCCTCTGTCATAACTTCACGGGTGTAGGTATGTTCACACTCTCAACCATCCCTCTGGACTCTGAGTGATCTCCGTTCCCGAGCCCCAGAGCAAAGCTTTGAACTCACAGAAGCCTGTGTAGAGCGGCCGTTGTCCCTGTCCGTGGTGCTGACTCACCTGCCACTTCCAGGACATGGGGTGGGGGGCGAGTTTCATTGAGTCTCAAGAGAGAAAGATTGACTCTCTCATCCCAGCTCCCTCCCCTTGCCCCTTCCCTCCAGTGGGAGAATATTTGAGGCTACACTTTCTGGCATCGCTGCAGTCCTAGAGAGATGGACTCAAGAGCTGGGGACTCAAGGACAGATCCACGTGTGTTTAATAACTTATAGGAGTTGTGGAAACAGTGGGCATGGCCAGAGGACAGGGGTTTGGGGAGCTGTTCTGGGGGAGGGTGATAAGGTACACGGTGGCCCCACAGCCCCTATTCTAACTCTGGAGTTGGAATGGGAGTGATGGGTTGCCCCTTTGCTCAGCTGGGCTGATTGGGTCTATAGTTGTCTTCTGACCCCTCCTGGCCAAAGCCCTGTATTGAGCTGAGGGACCTTTCCTTCTGTTCTTACAGCTGGGAGTCCACTGGATACGTGGGCATTCTTTTCACAGGCTCCAGGATGACAAGCCCCTCTTTAGACCCAGGACTCCTCCTCAGCTGGGAGTGGACCTTGATCAAGCTGCTGAGGTCACAGGCCCTCCAAACGTTGGGGTCTGCTCTCCAGTGGAATGACTGGCTCTTTCTTCTTTCCTTCCTCTTTCTCCCCTGCCCAGGCTCCATCCACCAGGGCTGCCTCCCCTCCCTTGCAATCTAGGGCAGATGCTCTCTCCAGCTTGCCCCTAGGGGGCGCCCTGGTTGGGCCCAGGCGGAGGTAGGCCAGGGGTTTGGGAATTCGTGAAGGCCGCTTCTCAGGCCTGTGGTCTCTGCGGGGCCGGATTCTGAGCCTGAGCTTCAGTTTGTAGATGGATGGTACCCTCTGGGGCGTCCGCAGTGTTCTCTTGCCCTTGCCTGCACTTGTCTTGGCTTTGTCAGAACTGGGGTCAGAGGGAGAAGGTGTGGGGGCCTCCAGGCTGGCAAACACAGTAGGGGCTGAGCAGTCCTGCCTTCCTTGAGCTTGGACCGTCCTCATCCTGGTGTCCTTGGCACTCAGGGTTGCCTTTGTCCTTGGTCCACTCTCTCTGGCTCCCAGTTTCCCTTTTTGGCTTCCTGGGCCTGTGGTAACAGCCAGCTTAGGTGAGCCTGTAGGGGCAGCCTTCCAGGCTCCCAGGTCTACTTTATTGAGGGGTGGGGGCCCCTGAGCCAGTTCTTGGATGACTTTATCATAAGGACCCCCAGGCTCAGGCCACCGCCCACCCAGGCTGGGGACATAGACTCCACTGCGAGGGATGAGCCCAGACCCTGGGCCCTGGCAATGGGTGGTTCCGACCTGTAGCATCTTCATGGTGGCCAAAAGCTCCTCCTCCAGGCTATGGGAGACGGCTGGCTCCTTGGTCTCATGCAGGGTCAGGGGAGTGTACCTCCTCTCCCGGTCCTGAGGGCCCAGGCCCAGGGACTCTCCAGCTTCTGCTGTCACCCAGATGTCCACCTTCTGGTCCCCTTGCCTTCCTTCCACAGAGCAGTCCCCATATCTAGACCCAGCCAGGACTCCAGTAGTGGCCCTTAGTGGGATGGAGCCTCCCTCCAATTCTGTTGTGGGACCTCCACTTGCAGTACCTGGAAAGCTTCTTCCTAGAGTGGGAGGTCGGGCAGGGGGCAGCTGAACAGGGACCTTGGGTCCTTTAACCAGGGATGGAGAATGGACAGATGCTGGCTGCCTGAGCTGAGAGGAAGCACCCTCAGCTTTATCCTGAGGCAGCTTCCTGGGGCCCATGGGCCTGGCTGAACTGGAATAACAAGGCAGAGATGGTCCTCCTGCTGGCGTCCCTTTGGCAGGAGCCTCAGGGGCTGGGAGTCTCTGGGGGTTCAGGGCTCTGGCATGGCTTCCCCAGCTGTCAGTCTCCTCACGAACCCAAGATGTAGGAGTCCTTCCCCTGAGGAGTTCAGGGTGGTATCTGTCCTCCCTCTTCCCTGAGGAGGTGCACGGTGGGTCTTGGTCTCTAGGGGTGGGTGAAAATTGGGGGCTGGATGGGCTGCCCCCAACTGGTAGCTGCCTTTGAGATGGGGCAGGTGGCTTCTCCTGGCACCTGAAAGGGAGAATCATAAGGCTGGCAGGGTCACTAATCCAGTCCCCTGGCTCTGGAAAGGGATGGCCCTTCCCTAACCAGAACTCCAAGGGGGCCAGACTTCACGTTGAAGGAAACAGATGCTCCCTCTCCCTCTGTGCCTGCCCAAGAGTAGTCCTTAAGGGGATACCACTTAAGTTGATTCTCCATCATTCCCTGTGTAGCAGATAGAAAGAAGCCTAGTCTGGACCCTGGGTTACTTCAAATCCAGCAACTACAGGTCACCAGTCTTGGGTGGCAGGGGAATCTTAGTGTCTGCTTTACCATGAAATGGCAGAAAGACCTTGGGTAAGCTTGTTCCCTTTTAGGGGCCTCAGCTTCCTCATCTGTTAAATGGGAGGGCATATGAAGTAACTAGATGACCCCAAAGGCATTGGGTGCTTTTTTGGTTCTGAACACCTGAGGTCTTGTTGGGGTAGGGGCACTGCCAAGAGACCCATTCTTTTTATCTTGGGGGTGGGGTAGCCTCTGAGAATGTGGACTCCAAAGGAGAAAAGGGCCCTGCCCTGTCCCTCCCCTGTACCTCAGGAATGGTGCTGTCTCTTTGAGGACCCCTGCTCCACATTCGCCACAGGGTCTGGGGGAGGAGTTGGGGGGCCTCAGCTTTCGGCCTGAAGAGGTATATGTCTTCCAGTCCACAGGGGGCAGAGGGCTCTGGGAGCGCCTGACGGTCATCATAGGCTGTGGCTGCGAGGGCTCGTCCAGCACCCTCACTTCATGCTGCACCCGCGGAACTGGGGGCTGCAGGACGCTGCCTGGCTTGTGTGCTACCAACACAGCCCCCGGAGAGGAGAGGAGGAAAGGATTAAAGTCCTGCTGCTGGCTCCTTCCCACAGCTGTTCCACACTCCATATCCCTCACTGAACAGTGGGACCTCCAGTGACAGTGACAGCACCAGTGCCAGAATGTTCTTGTAGTGGTTCAGAGGATGCAATCTGGTCAGAGGGCTCAGCGGGAGGACTTGTTTAAAGCTGTGTATTACAAGTCCACATATTTTACTTAGATTGCATGCTTATTTGGGGGCTTGAGGTGCTGATGGAGATAATTGGAGGACTAAAGACCCCTCCAGGTCATGCTTGGTGCCACCATTGTGGACATCAGAGTCAGACCTACTAAGCCCTGCCAAGATGCACCCTGACCAAATGCTGATTCTCTAGGTGTTTGGCGTCATCTTGTGGCTAGAATTGGCATTGCACTATGCCTGCTCAGCTTTCCTTCTAGGGCTGAGGGGACACCTGTACTTAGAATGTTCCTTTCGCCATACCCCAGCACACCTGTTGCCCCTGGAGATCAGACCTACCTCCTACTTCCAGCCTCCCGACCCAGAGCACAGGGAGGGGACTCTCAAGGGACTCACAGAGGGATGTACACCGGCAGGGGTCGTGTTTGTCCAGATAATGGCCAAGTGTGTCCCAGCCGCCCCCTACACGCACCATGACGTGGTTCCGGAGGACCTGCAAGGGTAAGGGGGCAAGGGTAAGATTGAGGACAAATGGAGAGTGTCCCCTTTCTGGACCACGCTGCAGGCTTCCAGCACACACCCCCATCCATCTACTCACACACACACATGCAATTACTCCCTTGCACAAGTGTGCATTTGGGAGTGTGCATATTTCTTCCCCTGAGTCTCCTCCATGATGGGCGTCAGATAACACATATTGTCAAGGGTGGAAGCAGGCTGACAAACAGAAAGTTGCCCCACAACAAGACAGGAGTCTCATAAGCATTGTGTCATCTGGCCACAGAGCCCTCTCTCCCTTCACTGTAAACAGCTCCCCTGCACATGCTTGTATTAGAAATGGGGCCCTGCCTTTGCTCTGCTGTGTGTGTAAAAGAATCCAGGGGAAGCTCAGCCCCACTCCACTCTGGGTCACATGGTCTCTCCAGGCTTCCATTTCCTCAGTTGAAAAGTGGGGCCACAATACCTAGCCCAAATCTACTTCACAGGGTTATTGGTTCAGGGTCTGGGTGAGGGCTTAGGGAACTGGCTCTGTCTCCAGGTGTGGCCTGTGCCCTAAAGGGCTTGGCCATGCCCCTGAGCTGCTGGCCACACCCTTGGGTACAGACTGTCTGCAGAGGAACAGCCAGGTATGGAGCATGGGGGAGGTAGTGGGAGGCACATGTCAGCTTGTACTACTGCTCACTGCAGAATGTACCAAGCCAGGCATTTGAGTGGTGAATGAGGTCCGTGTGTCTGAGCCATGCACGGAACACAGACTTGGGATTCTCAAGCCCCTTGCTCTGACCAAGCCTGTGGGTGGCATGGAGCTGATAGAAATTGGGAAAATACTTCAGACCCCACTTCTTCCTGGGGACCCCTTAGAATTAGGCCAAATTGGAAGCAGATGGTAGGGGGTGGTTCTGACTGCTCTAATGGAAGCAGGGGGTAGGCTTGCCAGTTTTGTGAGGAATCTTCTGGAATTTTTCCAGGGAGAAAGCAAGCCCCAAAGCTTGATAGGTTGGGATGAATGGTAACTTCCCGTTCTAGCCCTCAGGCCTGGGCAGGGTCCTGTGGAAGGAAACCCTTGTCTACTGACCTTGGGGCCCTCCCACCTCAGTCCCAACACTTACCCGGATAAAGATGAGGGTGTTGGAGTCCCCCACACGGTACTTCCCCTCAGATACCTTGACCATAGAGAACTGAACTGGGCATGTGCAGTGGCTCACAAGGCTCTGAACCTGCAGGCAGTGGGCATGGGCTCAGCGCTCCCTCTGCACATGTGCTCACGCCCCCACCGCCCAAGCTAGGTCAGCCCAGCGAGGCCCTGCCTTTCCCCAGTCAGCCCAAGTCTGCTGAGGGCAGGGCTGGGGGCTACAAGTGAATAGGGAAGACTTTTAATGACCCAGCGAGAACAAGACCGTGGTCCAGCACCCTCATGGTCAGCTGCTGGAGGAGGTGGAGGGGAATGGTGAAGAAGGTGGGCCTTGGAATCTGACAGGGTCAGAGTCCTGCCTCCACTGATCCCAATTCCTCCGTGGTAAATGGGGTTAATCACAGTAAGAGCTAACTCCTGACATGGCCCTCTCTGCCAGACACTGTCCGAACACTTCATATGCACTTTAATATTTAATACTCCTGCCACTCACAGAAGCTAGCTAGGTACTGTTACTGTTACTGTCCCCAGGCTACAGAAAGGGAACGGAGGCACAGAGAAGTTAAATAACTTGCCCAAAGTCACAGCGCTGCAAAGCAGTGGAACTCAGACTTGACCCCAGGCCTCAGAGATGGTCCTAGGCTAGGGACTGTGTTCTTAAAACTATCTCACGGTGTGGGGGAGGGAGGATGAGCGAGGTATAGAAAACTGGATTTATAATAAAAACGTAATAAGCGGTTTAGCTACTACTACATGTGATTAGGGTTGAGGCTCAGAGTGGGACATGACTTAATGCCACACAGTGGATTAGTGTCAGGGTGGGGACTGGAGTTCAAGAAGGGGGTGGCTCAGGGAAGGCAGGGGTGGGCGGGGCCAAGGGAGGCGGGGCCTTGCGGGCGTGTCCAGAGCTGCTCACCATCTGGTCCAGGTTGCGGAAGTGGCAGGGCCGACGTGTGGGGGGCGCGGGCGGTGGGGGGTCGGGCGGGGGCAGGGCCAGCTCCTGCCGCAGCTCCTCGTCGATCTCCTCCTCCAGCTGCACCAGGGTGGGCGCCGCAACTCCGAAGCGCCAGGCCCGGCGGCCCAGCTCCAGCAAGCACAGCACCACGTTCTTCACGTTCTTGCGCAGCACCAAGTCCTCCGTCTCGAACATCAGCACCTCTGGCGAGGGGGAGGGGGGAAGAGGTGGGTAGGTAGCCTGAGCCCCCAGCTGACCGTTCCCGAGCCAAGTGGGTGGGGAAGCCCTGGGGGCCATCCCTGGGAGTCTGGGTCTGAGATCCCACATGAAGCCAGCCCCGAAGAGGGAGAGGGGTCTGGGCAGAATTGCACAGACAAGGTGGCCCATCTAACAGGAGAGGTCCGGACGGGAAGAGGTGACACAGCCAAGCAAAGGAACCTGGGCCTGGCTGAGAGACAGGGTGAGAGAAGGGTTAACTCCAGCTGGTCCATCTCCCACTCAGTGGCCAGGATGGGTCCAGGAGAAGAGGCAGTCTCTTCTGCTTCCTCCTCTCAGCCTCCAGTATTCACTATGGAGGCATCTCATCCTCAACCTCCGGCCCAGGTGTCATGAGGCAGAGCTGAGGACAGGCTCTGGAGCCTGACTGCCAGGCCTCCCTGACACTCCCACCCACCCGCTGTGTGACCTTGGGCTAGTCCCTGAGCCCTCGGGCTTCTCTTCTGTAAAATGGGGATGGAGTCTTTTTCAGTGGGTTGTTGTGAGAATAGCTATTAGGGTTTGCAGACAAACCAGCACATAGTAAGTGTTCGATAAAACACTAGCTTTCCACACCCCCACCCCGGCCTGCCCCTCACTGCCTTGCCACCAGCCAGTAGCCGGGCCTAACCCTTCCCTCTGCCTTCCACCCACCACCTTTGGCCTAGAGGATGGCACACATCCAGCTCTATCCCACTGCTGGGTCCAAGGCCAAGGAGATGAGGGATCCTGACATGTTAATCCCCTGAGTCTCACAAGCCCCAGCAGGACTGGTCCCTCACCAACATCCAATCCTTCCTCCCCCGTTTTCTCACCACCTCACCCTGGCCCTGTACCCTTACCCACCACAGCTTTTCCCAGTCACCAAACACTTTGGCCCTGCTGTTCCCCTGCTTCGAATTCCCTTTCCCCCCAAACATCCCTTTATGTTTCAAGACTGAGCTCCAATCTCCTTCCTCTATGTGGCCTCTCTCTGCCCTGACATCCCACCTCATCAGCACGCAGTGATTTATATGTCTACTCACTCATCTGCCGCCCTTCCTAGACCACGAGCTCCTTGGACACTGGGTATCAGTGCTCTCGGTTCTCAGTGCCCAGCACAGTGCTCCACACACAGGGATAGGTGTGTTTGCTGATTGAATGAATCATTTAATGAACACATTTATTGATTGAGGATTTACTATGAGATAGGGAAACTGAAGAGTGAAAAGGGATGAGCTGGCCCAAGGCCAATCTGGAAGGAGCACCCTGGCTTTTGATCCTTAATGCAGCCTGGGCCTCAGAGAGGAGGTGGACACCCAGCAAGGTAAGGGTCTGGGGAAGGGGAGGTCGAGGGTGGGTACCTTGGATGCCCATCTCCTTGCGACACCACTGGATGAAGTTGGAGACGTTGTCCCGGGCCTGGAAGGTGCCTGGCTGGGCAGCCCCGTTGCAGGAAACCCCAGCCTGAGGCATGGGAATCCTTCGGGCTAGGGCAGGTGCCTCAGCCAGGAAGGCAAGGGCAGCCTCAGTGATGGCGTTGGCATGCCGGCACAGCACCAGGCCCGTCTCCAGCACCTGCAGGAAGTTGGCTGCATTGATGTTCAGCCCATAGAGATCCTGAAGCCACTCTGCCAGGTCCTCCTTCATGGCGTCCAGGTACTGCTCGCTGGACTTAAAGGGCCGGATGCTGCGCACCGGAGGTCCCGGGGTCCCAGGCCTCCTCCTATGTCCCCCAGGCTGGGACATGGCTTGGCCCTCAACAGAGGAGAAGGTGGGCACCTCTTCTCTCCTGCTGCTTTGTCTTCGCTCCTGCCACCTGCTGTGTCTTGGCAGTTCTCCCTGACTCCTGGCTCCCCTTCTCCCCTCTGAGAACCTCGGGTTTCAGGCTCTGCTACTCGCCTCTGGCTTCAGCCGCCTCCAGTAGGCTGGCCAGGCCCCGCCCCCCCACATTCCTCAGTCCCTGCGAGAACTTTCCCTACTTGGTGGCCCTGCAGCGACCTCACTCTCTGGATGCCCGGTCAGCTCAGAATTCACCACAGGACCGATGAAGTGAGGACACTCCTCTCTCCCCCCAGGGCTGGACAGGTCCCCCTGGCTGCCTCCCACCCCCCACTGCCAGCCGAGGGCCTGGAACCTGGCGACTGTGGGCCTCTCCACTCTCCTCTCCTCTCCTTGGAGACAGCGGCTGCTACAAACACTCCTTGTTAACCCTTCCTGGCAGCAAGGACGGCCCTCAGAGCCCGCCCCGAGCAGGAGGAGAGGTCGGGTTGAGCACAGTGGGGGCTTCTGGGGAGTGGGGGGAGGGAAAGCCGGGCCGGGGTGCTGTGGCCCTTGGTGTTTAGTGAACACTGTAGGATGGAGATGAAATAGACACAGTGATAGAGTCTAAAGACATAAGTGTAGCCCTGGACCCCTGGCTAAATCCCTTTGTGACTTTCATATGCTACCTAGCCTCTCTGTGCCTTAGTTTTCTCAACTGTAAAATGGGAATGATAGTACCTACCTCTCTGGGGTGTTGTGAGTATGAGGAATAATGGTATAATGTACGTGGAAAGTATCAGACTGTAAGGACACACACATGCTCAGGACTGGGTGGGTCCCAGCTCTCAGTGATTCTCCCAGCATCCCTGTCTGTGCACCATGATAGCCATTTTCTCTGGAGAACCTGCTCGTCCCTGACTCTAACCACACGACTCCTCTACAGTGGACTATTTATCACAGTACCTCACCCCAGGGCCACAGCAATGCATCCATTCAATAAATACGTTTTGAGTACATACTGTGGCCAGGAACTATTATACCCTAAATAGAGAGCCATAAACGAGGCCCCTGACCTCATGGAGGCTGCTTGCATGTTAGAGGGTGCTGGATGACAAATAACAAATAAATCTATAGTGAGTCAGATGGTGAGAAATACCAGGGAGAAAACCAAAAGGACTGGAGAGGTGTGTGTGTGTGTGTGTGTGTGTGTGGAGCTTTATATAAGGTGGTCAGGAAAGGCCTCGCTGATGTGATGATATTGAACAGGGACCTGAGAGATTTAAGAGACCAGGACCTGCAGGTATCTGGGGAAAGGGACTCGGGCAAAGGGAACAGCAGTGCAGAAGCTCTGGCAGGAGCCCGATTGGCATGTTCCAGATACAGCAGAGAGGCGGGATCTGAGGCAGAGAGGAAATGGGGTCTCAGATCATGCAGGGCTTTTCCTGACCTTTCAGAAGGGAAGTTTCTTTCAATTACTTTCTAGCGGGAACCGATTTTTTTTTTTTTTTTTAATCCTCACCCGAGGACATTTTTCCATCCTTTGTACAGACAGAGTGGGAGGGAGAGAGAGGAAGAGAGAGAGAGGGAAACATCGATGTGAAAGAGACACATCGAGTGGCTGCCACCCGCACGACCAACCAGGGCCGGGGACAAACTGCAACCAAGTTACATGCCCCTAGTGGGAACCGAACCCCGGTCTCTCCGGACCGCAGGCGGACGCTGTAACTGCTGAGCCAAACCGGCCAGGGCCTCAATTACCTTCTAAAGGCATCAGTTGTTGTACCCATTTTATGGATGAGGAAAGGAGAAAACCAGAACAGCAGGAGGCCTTAGTTTCTCACTTATATGATCTTCCCAAAGGGGTTGATGTTCTCATGACATGGAGCTGGGTTTCCCCTGAGCTAAGGCAATGAGCTAGAAGTGGATGAAGTGGGGAGCAGGGCTGAGGAAGGATAGGGATGGAGCAGAAAGGGGAGGAGAGAGAATAGTGATACAAATAAACAATGCTGTAAGTGGTGATTTACAGATGAAGAGACTGAGAGGTAACATGCTGAAATCAGGTCAGACACCTTTTATATTTACGTGCTAGAGTTGGGATTTGAACCCCATCTATTGGGGGCCAAAGCCACCCTCTACTCTCTTTTAATGCCTTTTCACGAGGGAAGGTAGGATTTTTAGTGCTTTTGGACGCTCTAGAAAAGGCAGCTATTCCTGAGTGGAATCCTATGGGCAGGTGAGGTTCTAACCCCGCCCCAGGTGATCCAACAGAGGCCCTAAAACCAGACCAAGTTCTATGGGTTCTGCTACTCCCTCTTTTCCCAGGCTCTGATTAGGAGAAGAAGGCAGCACGGCCTTCGGAAGGATGGATAAGGATGGTGAGTGGGGCTGGAGGCAGAGTGGGGCCGAAGGATGGGGTCTCTTGACTACAGGGTGGACCAACCAGTTCATCACCATGCTAACCCCAGAGTAGAAGTCCAGCCTTTTAAAGATTATAGCCATCCATGTACACTCTTCTTTCTCTTTCCTGAATATTCTTTTTAAAATAATTTTTCTTTATTGATTTTAGAGAGAGAGGGAGAGGGAAAAAGAGATAGAAACATCAATGAGACAGAACATCAATTGGCCACCTCCTGCACACCCCCTCTCCCCCGGGGAATTAGGCCCATAACCTGGACATGTGCCCTGACTGGGAATCGAACCAGTGACCCCTTGGTACATGGGTCACCACTCAACCACTGCGCCATACCAGCTGAGCTCCTGAGTATTCTTTTTTTTTTTTTTATCCTCACCCGAGGATATTTTTCCATTTTTTGTACAGATAGAGTGGGAGGGAGAGAGAGGAAGGGAGAGAGAGAGAAACATCGACGTGAAGGGACACATTGAGTGGCTGCCACCCGCACGACCAACCAGGGCCGGGGACAAACTGCAACCGAAGTACGCGCCCTTAGCGGGAACCGAACCCGGGTCTCTCAGGACCGCAGGCCGACGCTCTAACCACTGAGCCAAACCGGCCAGGGCCTGAGTATTCTTGATACCTCTTCTTTACTTCCTGCTGTTCAGACTTCTGTCCTCTCTGGCCTGGACCACTGTAATGACTCCTAATTGGGTCTCCCTCTGTCAGAGGGAACATCCTAAAACACAGCTCTGAGCATGTCCCTGCCTCAGAACGTTCAGTGGTTCCCCACTGCTGAAGGGCTGGTGCCTTGGGTGTTCAGTGAGCATGTGGGACGGGGGTGAAACAGACAGAGCGATGGATCCAAACTCATGAGTTTAGCTCTGGACCCTTTGCTAAATCCCTCTGTGAACTTCATATGCTACCAAAGTTCAAACTCCATAGCTTGGCACCCAAAATCCCTACCTTTCTTTCCAATTCCCCCTCCTCCTGAAAAGTTCTCAGCACCCTTTTCTGGCTGTGCACTGGGTCTGGCCTTTCACAACCAGAAGGCTCCTTCATGTAATTTTTCTAAATAAAAGTACTGTGGACCCTGGTTCTCCACCTTTAGCAATGCCATGAACGGGCAGAATCTTTGAAGCAACTTTTCTTGAAAGGTTTGCAAAAGTCCTGGATGAAATTCACAGGCCCGTCTGTGACCTACTTCATCACCTACCTGAGGAGGTTGTGAAGATGAAGGGACACGATGTCTGAAAAGAGTTTAGGATGGTGATTGCTTGTCGTTGGCGAGCTCGAAAGCTAATTTCGTGATAATTCCCCGTGGTCTCCAACCTCTTTAGGTTGGGCAGTTTTTCTTGACCTTTCCAGGGCAAACCCCAGGAGTTGTGCCTTCTCTGCCCTCCTCCCCCTTCTTTTCCTTACAAGGCTAGCTACCCAGAGCCAGCAGGGCAGGGCACACGACGGTGCTGGGCCAGTGTTTGCTGGTGAGGTTGGATCTCCCAGTCTGGCAGGTTACTTTTCTTGTTAGCCCAGGAACTTCCTGCCTGCAGGGGCTACTGTTTGGAGTGGTGGCCTTTGTGCCTTGAACAAACACATCACCAAGGGGTCAGTGGTGGCTGAATCTGGCTGGCAATTGGGGTCAAACCTGGAAGGAGGAAGAGACACTTTTTCCCAGTTGGCCCGCCCAAATGGGACACTTTTTCTGATCGTTCTGCCCATTGAAGGCACCTTTTTCTAATCATACCGAGTTCTTTGTGCCCACCTGCCCACCCAACCCGCCACAGGTGATGCTGGGCTTTCTTAAGGCAAGGCCCAGTTTGAAGAAGGAAGTCCCATCTAGAACACAAAATACAAACAACACGTATTAGAATTCCCACCAGTGCAGCTAGGGTTTATTGACAGCCCACGCAGAGATCAGTGTCGACCCTGGCGCCACGTGGAAGGACGGTGATGAGGCGTTTGCTCCAGGCTCACAGCTCACTGCTGCCTCCAGCTGATTGCGTCCCGCTGGCCAAGCCCGGGTGGGCGCCTTCCACACAGCGAGCTCCGCCTGCCTCACACAGCCCCCGAGAGAGTCACTACTTCCCCCGTTTCACAGAGGAGGCAACGGGGCTTGACGGGAGCAACCTGACTTTCTCAATCCTAGAAAGTGCAGAAACCTGGGAAATCGGGGTGGGGGCTGCAGGCCCTCCCTGGCCCGGGAAATCCTGGGCGCTCGAACGTTTTCTCGGAGTCCTGCTGGTTCTTAGGCACATCCTTCAGACGTCTGACTTTTGGGGGGCCCAGAGGGAACCCGGTTATGGGCAACAGGGTACGACCTTCTCCCCGCCCACCCGCCCGCAGGCGTGAAAACCCCTTTGTGGAAGAAGGGACTGAAAGAGCCCGGGGTCAGGGATGAGGAGGCAGAGGAGGAGAAGTCGGAGGAGGAAGAAGAGGGGAGGCAGTCTCAGGAGACCGCGGCCGAGGGCGAGGCGGAGTGCCCGGAGGCGGAGGGCGGCGAGGGCCGCTCGGTGTGCTACTGCCCGCTGCGCCAGGAGTCCAGCACCCAGCAGGTGGCGCTGCTGCGGCGCGCGGATGTCGGCTTCTGGGGCTGGCTCCTCCCCTTGGCTCTGATCCGCGGCCCCGCGGCCCCGGCCGTCAGGTAAGGGTGCGCCCCTCAACCTGGGCCAGACTGACGGGCGGGCGCCGGAGTGGGCCGCACGGTGCCCCGAGCGTCAGGATCCCGGCCCGCAGGAAACGGAGCGTCCCGGAGGAGCCGTGCGTGCTGCAGACCAGGCGCTGGCTACTACGCGGCGGGGGCTGTGCGCTTTGCGAGATCCTTTTTTGCAAGAGATGCGGGGACCTGCACAGCAACCCGGCCTACGTGGCGCACTGCATTCTGGAGCACCCGGATCTGGGTGAGGGTCGAGCGGGGGCCGCCGGGGTCCTCGGAGCGCCCCCACTCAAAGCCTTTGTGCCCTCTATTCTCTCCTGACCCGAGTCCCCGCAACTCTTCTCCCGTCCCCTGACGCCGAGCGCTCTCCAGCACATCCCAGAGCTGCCCCTTCTCGGAGCCGCGCCCGGAGCGCCCCCCTCAAGCAAACAGGCCCACGGTCGATGCGGCGGTCCCACCTGTCATCTATCGCCCACCAATGCAGAGCCCCAAGTCACTCGGAGTTCCATTCTTCCCACAGTGCCCCTGGGGGCTCCCGTCCCCTGGCATCACCAGTGCCTGACTCGCGTCCCCTGTCATAAACTCACATTCATCTCTTGGGTATTTCAGGTCCCGCTGGGCAGAAACATCGCCTAAAGAAAATAACCTCCGGGTTCTCTCACCCCTCTGAGAAACCTGTTCCTTCCCCTCGAGTCATTCAATAAAGCTGTAAGCAAAGTGTCGATAAGGGCGAGGTGACTCCAAAGAGGGTGATGAAATTGACCCTCCTTCCCTCCTGCAGAGGTTCAAGCCTGAGTGTAAAGGGCAGGCGGAGAGCCTCCTTTCGCCACCTCCCCCAGGACAGGGCGGAGCAAAGCACTTGCATCCAAGGGCAGGCAAAGGCCATTTTCCACACTGCCCCGGGGAAAAAATGAAGGCACAGGGCTAGGAATGCCTGTGGGGAGGTGAGGGCTGAACCTTGCCAAACCATTCTCCTTGTCCCTTGGAAGCCCCATCCCCTGGAAACCCCGGTCTGGCCGAAATATATATGCAGAGTCAATGTGCCAGGCACCGGCAGGTATGGAGGGGGGAGGATCTGAGAATCAGATGCTAAAGCGCTGAGACAGACTGAGGCAGAAGATGGGTGGCTGGGGGGGCTGGTTCCTTCTCCAGGAATCCCAGCTATTCTTGGCCAGCGAGCAGGAGCTCCTGGAATGCTGCGTGTGTGGCCTGGAGAATGGAGCCACTGTGAGTGAGTACAAGGCCTCCCTCCGCTTGCAGAGTTCCCCAACCCCCCAAAGCTGCCTGCAACAGTGGAGACCTCCAGAGAGGCCCCTGTCCTCTCCCTGCCACCCTGTTTCTCCATCCGGTCTGAGGGGTGAGGGGAGGGGACAAGGACATTTAGCTTTTTGAGGAGAGGCAGGCTCCCTCTTCCCATCACAGCCAAACACATACACACACACAGCCAGCTGGCCCTGGCTTCGTCAGAGGAAGAACATGATCTCTGCCTCACCAGCATCCATTCCCACCTGCTCTCATTGGAAACTATTCCATAGAAAGCTGATTTGTGACTCCAGGCCCACCAGCTGGGGACACCTCTTTATTCCAGCCTCCCAGCAGGACTGCATCAGTCTCCCTCTTGCTCTAGATCCTGACACCCCTCAGGGCCTCAGAGTTTGGAGACCCTGTACCCCACCCATCCAGGCTTTCTGGGGTTGGGGCCTCTGATTAAATATGATACTGTTCTCCAAGAATTGAGCTGGAAGGTCCTAAGGAGAAGGCAGCAGTCTTGCAAAGTGGTCCCAACCTCTCTGCTGAGATTTGCATTCTCGCTGGTTGCCCAGTGCTGCTGACTCTGACCCGAGCTGCCACTTAAGTGGAAGAACCAAAGTCCCCAAGGCTTGGGGAGGAAAGTGTCTTTGAGAAAACAGCTGTGGGGTCTGAGACCCTTTTTGGCTTCTCCTTGGGTTGATCCCAGCACCACTTCCATGTGGCGGGAACAGCATCAAGACAACGCCACATGGTCCAGGGAACGAACGTAGACAAATTTCTCTGCTAGGACTTCTGCAGGGAGGCTCGGAGGCTTCCAAGACAGATTCTGTCCCTGGGCAGGGGACACACATTGGCCATGAGAGCACCAAAAGTTCACTATGAGGTTGGGGTGCCTTTAGAACAGGGCGCCCCCCGAGTTGACATGCCAGCAGCCCATCCAGGGCAGCTCTGCCGCCCAGCGGCCAGAGGCAGTCACCCGTAGTTTGGCCTGGTCCAGGTGCCAGTAGCGGTCATCTCTGAAGAAGATGACAGAGCCCTCTGGCTGGGGCAGGGCACCGCTGATCTCTTCAGGGACACCACCCCAGTCCTGCAGGCCTCGGGGATAGTAGGGCTCCACCTTCAATCCCTCTCGGGTCAGCACATAGTAGCGGGCACCCTTGAAGAGGACGAGGCGGCTCAGAGGAGGGAAGAAGAGGGCTGCGTCGGGGTGGCGAGGCAGGCCCCCTGTCCGGCACAGCTGTAGAGAACCCCACACTGGCTTGGGACCCCGAAACCTCCAGCATCGACATCCTGTGGGGCATTGGGAGAGCCAGGGTGAGCTAGTAGCTCTCACCCTTTTTTCCTCCACCTCAACTCTGTTCCCCCATAATTCTATTCCCTCTTGTGTTGGAGCCCACGGTGGTTAGTATTTGTGATACAGTGGATCACACTAATATTTAGTTATGAACAATAGGGGAGGTACTGTTGTGGCCTGGACTTCCAGAAGGTGTCAGCAGAGGACAGACAGAGTTAAAGGAACATATCTAGCCCTTCCCTGGGTAGCAGAGGGTCACCCTCCCTGGGTGAGGACTGAACTCTGGGGAAGGTCAAGGGCTTTCTTCATTGCCATTACTACTAACAGGTTAGGAGGGCAGGGAGTTTTGTTTTGTTCACTACTGTATCCCAGTACCTCCAACTGTGTCTAGGGCATAGAAGACACTCAATATTTGTTGAATGAATGAATGAACACTATTTACTGAAGTGAAATACTGCACACCGCTCAGTCATTATGTTCTTTTCATCCTTCTTCCTCAACGAACCTGAGGAATTGTTTTCTCCTTCAAGAAATTCAAGACCCAAGAGTTGAATGACATGCCCAACCTCACAAAGCCAGGATTCCAAGGAAGGTATGACTTTCTGCTGAATTGCAGAGTTCAGGAGTGGTCCTCAGCTTCCCTTTAATTTTTTTTTTTTTTATCCTCACCCGAGGACATTTTTCCATTTTTTGTTCAGATAGAGTGGGAGGGAGAGAGAGGAAGAAAGAGAGAGAGAAACATCGACATGAAAGGGACACATCAACTGGTTGCCACCTGCATGACCCCAACCGGGTCCGGGGACAAACTTCAACTGAGGTACATGCCCTTAGCGGAAACTGAACCCGGGTCTCTCTGGACCGCAGGCTGACGCTCTAACCGCTGGGTCAAACAGGCCAGGACCCTCAGCTTCCCTTTAGAGTCTTCTCTGCAACTGTCCCAACCTCTCTCTCTAGAACAACCTTGACACCTCCCTCCCCAGTGCACCACTAAAGGAATCTCCTGGTAGATTTTCCCGGGCCACCGGTTCAGATTGGAATTGAGATGCCTCCCCTCTTTTGACCTTGGGCAGGACACTTTTCCTCTGTAGGTCTCAATATTCTCATCTGCCCCAGGGTTGGTACCTTTGAAGAAGTAGAAGTCTCCATTCTCCAATGACACTGCAGCCGCCTCAATGTTGGGGGGCAGCCCGGCCCACCTTTCCTGCAGTGGGTGGGGCTCTGAGACATTGCCATCAGCTGCCACCTCCCAGAAGTGGCTCCCTTGAAAAATGTACAGTCGCTGTTGCCCATCTGCCCAGAGAGACAAGAGAGAGTTGAGCAGTGACCATGAGCCTCCTGCCTTCCTTCCAGGGAAGGTGCCTTCCTAGAACCCAGCTTCCCAAACTGACCAGAGAGGATGCAGCATGTACAGCTGGGGTGGAAGGGAGAGTGTGCAGGAGAAAGCAGTGTTTTGCTTGGCGTGGGCTTGCTACCTTGCAGAATCCTTGTGGCTTAGAATTTCTGGATTTTATCATTTATACGTCCAACCCCCCCCCCCCCCCGACTTTAACTCCAGCTCTGGAGACCCCTGGAGATGTGAGGAGGGGGTGAGGGAAGAGGAAGCAAGGCCTGGGTGGAACCATCTTACCTACAGTGATGGCATCGAAGGAAGAGTGGCAATATTTAGGTCCCTGGGTTTCGAGGCGTCTTTCCTGGGGTCTGTGGGGGTCCCAGGCCTCAAAGTCAGTGAATAGCTTTCCTGGGAGCTGGACCGTCACAGAGCCCCCTTGGGGCTTCCCTGTAAGGGGAAGAAGAGGGAAAGAATGCACAGTGGTTAGAGGGGGTGGTTGTTGAGGGCCCAAGACCTCCCCCTGGTTTCTTTTATCATTATCTGATATGAGGGGCAGGGGAGGAGAGCAGGGATAGGGGGTGAAGAATTGTCTTTGGCTGTTAGGTTAACCATAGCACTAATCTCAGAAGCCCTCTCTCCTATCAGACAGTCTGGGAAAAGGGCATGGACCAAGATAAAAATGAAATGGGGGACCAAACAAGGGTTTGGTAAGAAGTGCAGAGCTTACTCTTTTCTGAGTCCTGGACAAAGCAGATGGCAAAAAGGCAGAGTTCAGGGGCCCAAGCTGTGTTAATTACAGCACTTAAAATAATTACACCATAATACTTATGAGAGTGAGGCAGAGTCCAATTAGCTTATAATTTGGCAGCAGCTCCTGAATCCTGTTCTACAATGTCCTAGCTGTGTGATCTTGAACAAGTTACCTAACCTCTCTTATCCCTGTTCTCATCTATGGACAAAAAGATACTTACCTCGAGGGTGTATTGCGACTCTGTTAAGTGCCTGGCCCATGGTAGACGGTCATGAAATAGCAGCTGTTATTACAACACTTGTGTATGTCTCTTAGGCTACAAAGCATGTTCATATTCACTAGTACAACAACCTCATGAGGTAAGCAGGGCCTCAATTACCCATTTTCTCAGAAGGTAAAACTGAAGGCTCTCAGAAGGAAATGCTTTGCCCCAGAGCAGCTACTAGTCAGGAATGTAACTTGAACCCAGGGCTCCTGGCCCTGCCCACACAACACGCACTCTGTGGGAGGCAGCCCAGCGCTGAGGCGGGCCTGGGGTCCAGGCAGGCCACTGGCCAGCAGCGCTGGCCACCAGTTCATTATGGGGGAATTTTCTGGGTCCAAGCTTGGGAGGAAGCGGGCATCAGCGTCATGGAGGGAGAATGTTGGGGGGTAGAGACAAAGCACAGCTGGGAGCAGGAATGAGAGCTCCGGGGTCTGGTACGGGGCAAGAGGTGGGGCTGAGGGCTGGGTCTGGGCGATGGGGCAGCGGATGTGAGAGGCACTGCAGAGGCCAGGGTTGGGCAGGAACCAGGAATTGGAACTCAAAGGATTGTTCCCAGGAATTCCCTGGGATTGCCAGAGGGCAAGTATGGTGGGATCAGCCCGAGGTTTTCCAGATGTAAGGGGAGCCGAAGGATGTGGAAGAACCTGTGACAAGGAGGCCAGATTCCTGCGCTTAGCGTGGGGCATCCAATTGGAGGGGCCGGTACCCCAACACTGCAGGCAAGGGGCGGGGGCGGGTGGGGCTCACCGTACAGGCTCTGCACCGCCAGCACGTCGTCCCAGCTGAGCAGCGCGTCGCGGCCCAGCCGCTTGTAGTACGGGGCCATGAGTGCGCGCGGCGCGGGCGAGTGCGTCAGGCCGAGCGTGTGGCCGATTTCGTGCGCCAGCACCACGAACAGGTTTCGCCCGCGGCGGCGGCTCAGGGACCAGCGCTCGTCCTGGTCGAAGTGCGCTTCGCCTCGGCGAGGCAGAAAGGCGTGCGCCAGGGCGCCCCCTGCAGGCGGCGTGGAGGGTCAGGGGGAGCCACCACCCGCGACGCCCCCAGGTGCCCACCGCCCAGAACAGATGCCACCGGGGTGTGTGGCTGTTGTTTGCTGCATAATTTCCCTCCCAATGAAGTCTGGCAGAAGCTGAGATGCGGAGCAGTGGGGTATGGATGCTAAGGGGCAGCGTGGTGCACACACAGCATGGGGCACACTGCCTGGGTTCCAATCCTGATCTTACCATGTACTAGCTGTGTGACTTTGGACAAGTATCTTAACTCCTCTGTGCCTTATCTTCCTGATATGAAAATGGGAGGGATGATAATGAGGTTCTTCCTCACAGGGTTTTTCTGAGGATTAAAATGATGTGTGTAGCCCTGGCTGGTTTGGCTCATGGTTAGAGCATCGGCCTGCAGACCAATGAGTCACGGGTTCTGTTCCGGTCAAGGGCATGTACCTCGGTTGCAATTTGTCCCTGGCCCTGGCTGGGGTCGTGTGGGAGGCAGCCACTTGATGTGTCCCTTTCACGTCAATGTTTCTCTCTCACTCTTCCTCTCTCTCCCTCCCACTCTATCTGAACAAAAATGGAAAAATGTCCTCAGGTGAGGATAAAAATAAATAAATAAAATAAAATGATGTGTGTATCTGTGTATGTTACATATCCGTAGTGCCTAGCATATAATAAATGTCACATAGGAATTATTTTCTAAAAGATCTAGGAGTAGGTACAATGGTTACCCCAGAATGGAGCATGACGGCACCTTCTGGGATGTTGGTAATATTGTTTCTTTCTTTACTGCTTTTAGAGACAGAGGAAGGGAGAGGGGGAGAGAGAGACAGAAACATCAATGAGAGAGAACATCAATTAGCTGTCTCTTGCATGCCCCCACTGGGGATCCAGCCCACAACCTGGCATGTGCCCTTATCAGGAATAGAACTGTGCATGTGTCAATGATCAACCACTCAGCCACACCAGCCGGCTGGTAATATTATTTCTTGATCTGGGAGCTGGGTATGTTTATGTATAGTTCCTTTGATAAAAAATATATGTATTCTTGTGTTCTTGCCTTCCCTCTGCGGGTCTCTACCTCCCTGCTTGTAATAGGAGTGAGCAGAGGGAGTTGGGCTGGACCAGTGATTCTCAAGCTTATAGCGTGCCCCAGATGGAGCCTATCAGTCAAGCAGTTTCCAGGACCTGACCCTCACAATTCACTTTCTGCAGGGGCGGGGTCAGCAAACTGCACGGTGATAGGTTGGCCTAGAAGCCTATTGAGGGTCCCTCCAGTGTTGCTTTCTTGGAGCCCAGACCAACTGGGACTGACGAAGGTCAGGAGGCTAACAAACATTAAAGGAGCGTTGGCCGCATGTAGGAGGAACACATGCCTCCTATTTTGAATGTGCTTTGAACTATTTCGAGCAATGAGAGCCTTTCTTGGGAGACAGATGGGCAGGTTTTGGGCTAAACTCAAAATGACAAAGCACCTGTCCCACATCAGAGAGCTGACTCCCAGTCCAGTGCTGTCTTAACCACCAGGGACGGATATAAACATCTCATATAGATAACATGGATGAAATGAGTTACATGCAAACGTGTGTATCCTACATGTGGATTCTCGAAAAGCCTAGATTTCTCCCAGTCCTACCCTGGTCCAGGCAGCAGGGCCTGGGAGTGGCTTTGCTCTGAGTGGGCTTGATGGAGAGCACAAGGGAGTGGAGGCCAAGTTCCCAGGCTACACGAGGGCTTAATTCCCCACCTGAAGAGTCTGATCAGGTTTCCTTACCCCTCAGCGGGGAGGGTTAGGAGGATGCATAGATAGCCTGTATTCAGGTTTTTAAGGCCAGTGCTGGGCAGAATGGGAGGACAGTGGTTTAAATTACCGCCAGAGCCTTCAGGTTGGGGGCAAACAGAACCGCCTGGACTGTGGGTATGCGAAGCGCTTCTGTCACAGGCAGCGGGTAGAATGCCTCTTGCTCTGAGGCAGTGACTGTGACAGTGGATTGGGGGAGGGCAGGAGTCAGTAGTGGTGGCCTCTAGATGTTTTTAGGACCTTGGTCTGGAGAACATCCACTCCTGGAGAACAAGGGAGGCACAGGTTTGTCTAGAGGCAGGGGATGGATAACGGGACCTGAGAAATTTCTCCCAGAATAGATAATTCTCTTTAGACTATCCCAACAGCCATGTGGCACATAATAGGGCAAGGACCACTGTTCCCATTTGATAGATGAGAAGACTGAGGGTTCTTTGGAGAGTGATGCAGCTTGGCCAGGGCCACAGGGAGAGCGAATGCTCCATTTTCCTCCACTGCCTCTCCTAGTTGGGTTCCCCTCCTTCCATATGTCAGTACCTGGGCCGTCGAAGGCGTTGCTCAGCCCATCGTTGTGGTCCCCTTGGAAGAAGGTGAGGCGGATGTCAGCAGGGCCCGTGGCTGGGGCCTCCCAGAACTCCAGCGCTGAGACGTTGCTCCACAGCTGGAAGGCGGCGCGCACCGCTCCCCGGACTGCGGGCTCCGGCAGGTGCTGGGGCCAGTTCACCAGGCGATAGGAGAGGTGTTGCTTGTACCACTTGTTGCCTGCCACCCGGAGAGGCCACATCAGAGTCTGGGCCTGCTGCAGAGCCTGGGGCTGGTCCCGGGTGACACCTATGATAGGGAGATTGGCCCTCCCCCAGGGAGCCCCTGATCTGGTGGGGAAGACATAGTCCTGGCCCTGGGAAGCCCCTCATTTGTCTGGGGAGACACTGCTCTCAGACAGATCAGCCTACCCTTGTCCTGGAGAGTCCACAGCTACTGGTTTGGCCTTAGGAGGTCCCTTAGGACCTTGACCAAGCTGCATCTCCTCCAAAGTGTGATGGGGGAGATGCAGCCTCTGCCTAGGAAAAGCCCCCAACCTGAAGGACCCTCTGGTCTGGAATCTTCTTCCCCACAGCCTGAACTGAGCCTGAAAACCACTCTGTGCCTCCTGCCAGCAGCAAATCCTGGCCCCTGATGACCGTGCGGGGGGGGGGGGGGGGCACCGGGGTCACAGTCCTGCCTGCCCTCTCACCCCTTCTTCCTCTCCACCCCTCACACCCTCCTGCTGCCTCCCTTTCTAGTGCCTGGGGCCTGGGCTGAGAAGCCACCACAAGCCCCATTTATTTGAGGTCCTTCCCTGACCCCTTGCCCTCCCCCTCACTTCCTCAGGGATTGTGGAGATCTCTGAGGTGAAAACAAATAAGAACAAAGGGTGTGTTTTGTCACTGACTGAGATACATTTTTTCATCTCCACTTAGTTAAGCGTTTCTATTCCTTTGCCCAGAACCTAAATTCCTCCCTGCGGCCTGAGACTCAAGCCTCTGGCCCGAGCCCCAGGCCAGCTAGTCTGGGTCCAGCTCCAGCTTACCACACACCCGGGACCAGGCGCTTAGGAGGCCCATGTTCTGAGTGGAAGGAGCTATTTCTGAGCCCTGCAAGCTCAGGGACTGAGACTGTGATCCCCAGTCTAGGACTCACAGCTCGGCTGCAGGACTCCCGGGCTCAGGAGCACACAAGAATCATGTCTTTTGGCCTCAAATGGACAAAATCTCTGCTTGGGTGACAAGTGGGCCGGGCATGCCTGACCATACTAGGAGACCAGATGATGGGCACAGCCCCCTCTTCCCTTAGGGGGCAGTTGAAGGTTCAGGTCTCCTGCCCCTTTATCCCAGGGATGTCCTTGCCTGTACCAGGCAAGGAGCGAAGTAAGTTCGGGAAGTTCAGTCATCTCCTTATTCAACCTCTCCTCTATTTTGGGGATAAGAGACCAGGGGAAGAAATGCCCCCAGGGTCACAGACTGAGTGAGTAGGTGCCAAGGCCCTAATGCAGTGTATTTTCTACTATATCACACAGATAAGCAGACTTGTGTAAGACTCAAGGCTTATACATTTGCCTAAACATCGCTCCCCAGGGTCGGTTGAAGTGGGGGTTCTGAAAAAGCTAAAATTCTCGGGATGGAAGGGAGGGTCTTAGAGCACAGGAGCTGGGCCTGAGTTCCCTCTCCCCATCCCCCATGGCAGTGGGGGAGGGGAATGTCCCTTCTCCCCCTGAGCCCAGTTCCATTCAAGGCAATGCTGCCTCCCCCTCGCCTGTTTGGCTTGGCAGCCACCCAACCCCTCCCAGCCTGTGACCAACCCTCAGGGAGGGAAGGGGGAAGGATTCTAAGGGAGGAGAGGCCTGGCTTTCGGAGGCACTGTCACCACACTTCTAGTGCCTTGTAAGTCTTCACTTGGGTACTGAACTGGCTGGCGCTGGGCTCTTGCACACCCTACTGTGGGTAACCAACCCCCGGATTCCTCCTCCCCACCTCCAACCTTCAAGCTTCTAGAAAACTATGAGTTGGCTCCTTTGGCCTCAGCTAGGGTGCCCCTCACTCCAAGGGCAGGAAACAGGGAAGGTGGGCAACTCTCTCACTCTAGGTGGCCAGTGAAGGGGATGGCTCGCAGGCAAAAATCCTCTGTGAAACTATGAGTGTGTGCTTGGGGGGGCGGGCAACTAGGAACAGGAATTGAGAGAAAATGATTAATTTTCCTTGGGAGGGGAGCAGCGTGGTAGGTGTTGGTGTACCTGCCAGGAAGGAAGGCACCACCAGGCCAGCAGCCTGAGCCCTGCCCCTGTCTTCTTCCAGACTGGTGTCCTTGGAGCAGGCTAGCCACTTAGGCCCCATCCCAGACTCCTGCTTGAGCAGGACTGGTTTCCATGGCGATCCCCAGGCCACAGTAGCACCTGGCACTATACCCCATACTCTTGATTTAAAATCCAAAAAGAGCCCTGGCCAGTTTGGCTCAGCAGTTAGGGCGTTGGTCTGAGGTCCAGAGAGACCCGGGTTCGGTTCCTGCTGGGGGCTGTACCTCAGTTGCAATTTGTCCCCGGCCCTGGTTGCGTTGTGCGGATGGCAACCACTCGATGTGTCCCTTTCACATTGATATTTGTTTCTCTCTTTCTCTCTCTCTCTCTCTCTCTCTCCCTCCCTCCCTCCCTCCCACTCTATCTGAACAAAAAATTGAAAAAATGACCTCAGGTAAGGATAAATTTAAAAAAAAATTGATTTGAGAGAGAGAGTAACATCGTTCGTTTGCCTCCCATATGCGTCCCGTCAATCCTGCACCCTGGGCATGTGCCCTGACCGGGAATTGAACCCGCAACCTTTCTGTGTATGGGACAACGCTCCAAACAACTGAGCCAAACTGGCCAGGGCAGGTCCCTTCCCCTTGGTTATCAGGGCTCATCTCTCCTTTGCAACCTGAAAACACCTGTGTCTCAGATGAGTAAACAGGCAAAGTGACACAGCTCAGGTCACACAGCTGAACCCAGAGCCCCAGCTCCAGGGACGTTGCTCTTCCTGCTCCACCAGGGCCTCCCGTGCCCATGCCTGGTCCTTCTCCTCTGCCAGAACACAGTGGTCAGTACTGGGGACCCAGAGTGGCTGGGAGTATAGACACAGCTGAACTGGATAGGCGAACACCTGGAAATAGCCATCCTCCAACAGCTGAGGGGAAATGCCCATAATTTCCTTTATGGTCAGCTAAGAAATAAAAACAAACTATGTGCGTTCTTTCCTGTTCATGATGGACATTGTTGGTAAAAGAAGTTAATGCAAATTAGAAGAGGCAACAGCCCAAAGGGCTCACAGTAAAGTTAATTACAGATGAAAAGCTGGCTAAACAATGCCATTTTGTAAGAAATCTTGAAAATTGCAAAAACTGATCAGAGAGAATTAGACTTAGTAAAAACAGTCAAGATGTTAAAATCACACACTGAGAAACTTGTTATCGATGAAGAATTGACAGAAGAATAAAATCTTTATTAGTAACATTTGACCTGGGAAGATTGGATTTGGCCAAAGAAGGAGGAAGAGAAGAGGAGAAAAAAACAAAACTAAATCATAGCAGCAGGAAGTGGAATGTGTAAAATGTGTTATGATGAAATGTTCAGAATAGGCAAATCCAGAGAGACACAAAGTAGATTAATGGTTGCTAGGAGATGGGGGAGGCGGTGGGGAATGACTGCTAATGGGCATGGAGTTTCTGTCTGAGGTGATGAAAATGTTCTGGATTAGATGGTGGTGATGGTTGCACAATTCTGCAAATATGCCAAAAGCCACTGGATTGTATGCTTTCAATGGGTAAATTGTATGGCACATGAATTATATTTCAATAAAGCTGTTAAAAATGTACTATGGCCTGGCCGGTGTGGCTCAGTGGTTGAGCGTCAACCCACACACCAAGAAGAAGCCAGTTTGATTCCCAGTCAGGGCACATGCCCAGGTTGTGGGCCCAATCCCCAGTGGGGGGCATGTGGGAGGTAGCCAATCGATCTTTTTTAAAAAATATTTTTCTTTATTAATTTTTAGAGAGACAGGTAAGGAGAGGGAGAGAGATAGAAACATTGATGAGAGAGTATTGATTGGCTGTCTCCTGCATGCTCCCCACTGGGGATTTGGCCCACAACCTGGACATGTGCCCTGACTGGGAATAGAACTAGCGACCTCTTGGTGTATGGGTCGATGCTCAACCACTGAGCCACACCAGCCTGGCTCGTTGATGTTTTTATCTCTCTCTCTAAAATCAATTTTAAAAAAACATATTTATAAAAAAATGTACTATGGATGAAATCAAACTAATCAATGAATCACATCCTTGTTGAATAATTCTTATAAAAAAAAACACTTCTGATGAAAATAACTCCAGTAAAATATTTTTTAAAAATGCCCTGGCTGATTTGGCTCAGCAGTTAGAGTATCAACCCAAGGACTGACGGGTCTCAGGTTTGATTCTGGTCAAGGCCAGGTACCTGGGTTGCAGGTTTGATACCCAGACCCCATCGGGGTCATTTGGGAGGCAACCAGTTGATGTGTCTCTCTCACATCAATGTTTCTCTCTTTCTCTCTCTCTCTCTCCCCCTCCCCCCATACACTCTAAAAAAAAATCAATGGAGCCCTGGACAGTTTGGCTCAGCAATTGGAGCATCGGCCTGCGGACCAGAGAGTCCTGGGTTCGATTCCCGCTAGGGGCACGTACCAAAAACAAACAAACAAAAAAAACAATGGAAAAATACCCTCAGGCGAGAATTAACACACACACACACATTTATATATGTGTATACATAAAATGTTGGCAACAGTTTAACTGTCCTGCATAGCAAATTAATCAAGAAATTAAGTGGGCTCAATGGGGTGTGCTCTGGAAAGTACTTGCACAATGAAAATTCATCAACATAGGTATCATCCTGGTTTAAATGTCTGTGTTCACAAACATGGTCCTCAAGTCCGAGAGGTCCTATTTGTCCACTGCGCTCCCTTGCCCACCCTAGGGAAGGGGTCACTGACAAAGCCTCGTCCAAGGCTGAGCCCTTTTTCTGACCGTGGGGCTTCAGGGTGGAGGGGAATCCATCATAGCTACATTTCCACAGTGCTCACCTTGCTTTGCAAAGCGTTTCTTACGTCTCATTTTGGCCCGTCGTCCAGCAAACAGGGCACTGACCCTCTCAGTCCAGGCTGCCTGACTGTCAGTGTCTGCAACCCCGCAGCGGGGCAGTGTCATCTGGTGAAGGGTGGCAGGGTCCAGCACTCCACTGATGGGCAGCTGGGACACCCACTGGAACTCCCTGTCAGGAGGAATTGAGATAAAGGACCACAAAGGGAGGGTGGGCGGTGGGGGTGAGGGCAGGGAGCTTCCCTGGAGACAGCAGGAGGCTGGGGCGAGGGAAGGAATAGTGGAGCATGGCCCGCTGGACACATGGGCAGCAGCCTTCCCCGAGAAGGGAGGAGGAGACCCAAGCTTCTACCCCAGCACCCCCAAGTCCTCCATATCCCTCCATCCTACCTGATGGCATTGCTGAATCCCGTGGAGGAGGGAGATTTGGGGACCTGTTCCCTGAGATATCCATACCTCTCCAGAAACACCTGGGGGAGAGAAGAATGCCAGCTTCTCCCACCGTGTGGCATCCTTTCCCCTCCCTTGGTTCCCAAGTGTCCATGGCACATACATCATGCCTGGTCCCATCCCTTGTCCCAACATTGTCTAAGAGCAGAAAGAGTCCTGGGATCAAAGTCAGAAGGACCTGGACTTAGTCCCAGGCCACAACGACTAGCTGGATGGTCTTGGGCAAGTCACGCAATGTTTCTGAACCTTGGCTTCTCTATTTCTAAAACTGGCCAAGCAGTCCCTACCCTGAGTATCTTCCCGAGTACGTATCTCAGGAAGCTAGCAGTAGAGTGGACGTAGAGTTATGGGCTCTGAAGTCAGGCCCGCCTGGGTTTGAATCCCAGTTAGCAAAGCTACTTCTCTAGACCACTGGTTTCAACTGTGACATGAGTTTGGAAATAGTACCCACTTTACAGGTTGTGTGTGTGTGTGAATGAATCACAATAGTAAATATAAAGTACTTAGCCCTAGCCTGTTTGGCTCAGCAGTTGGAGCGTCGGCCTGCGGACCAGAGAGTCCTGGGTTCAGTTCCTGCTAGGGGCACGTACCAAAAAAATTAATAAAGTACTTAGCACAGCACCTATCACCTAGTAGGGGCTCCATACAGAGTAGCTATTATAATTTTATGTAAATATACACTGTTCATATGCCTCAGCTCTTTTGATGAACCATCTCCTCTCTTTAGGAAAATTTTCCGTATAGATAGAGTTGAGCTGATCACCTGCAGGCTCATGGATTGGAAGTAATTATCTAATTCTGGCTACTTCTTAAACAATTCTCCTCTCCACAAATGCAGATAGACTTAAGGCTCAAGAAAAACCAATGTCCTTACCTTCAACCCTATAGGTTATATAAAAATTTAACTCTCTAGAGAAGCACTCTTTGAATTCAAAACCTGCAACTCCCTTTCATTCATTTGTTTGATAATTCATACAATGTACTAGGTACCTTGCCAGGTGCAATGGTCAACAAGACACCCCTAAAGGCACCTATATGTACACTTGTGGACAGAGACAGAAAATAAAATCACAGATAAATAGATACAGGAGAGCCCTGGCCTGTTTGGCTCAGCGGTTAGAGCTTCGGTCAAGGGCATGTACCTGGGTTGCAGGTTTGGTCCCTGGCCCTGGTTGGGGTCATGCAGGAGACAACCAATAAATGCGTCTCTCTCACATTAATGTTTTTCTCTCTCTCTCTCCCCCTCTCCCTTTCACTCTACCTAGAAAGCAATGGAAAAATAAAGCCCTGGACAGTTTGGCTCAGCAGTTAGAGCGTTGGTTGGCCTGCGGAGAGACCCGGGTTCAGTTCCCGCTAAGGGCATGTACCTTGGTTGCAGTTTGTCCCCGGCCGTGGTTGGGTTGTGCGGGAGGTAGCCACCTCTGTGTCCCTTTCTTTCTTTTTTTTTTTTTATCCTCACCCGAGGACATTTTTTCATTTTTTGTTAAGACAGAGCAGGAGGGAGAGAGAGGAAGAAACATCAATGTGAAAGGGACACATTGAGTGGCTGCCACCCGCACAACCAATCAGGGCCGGGGACAAACTGCAACCAAGGTACGTGTCCTTAGCGGGAACCGAACCCGAGTCTCTCTAGACTTTAGGCCGATGCTCTAACCGCTGAGCCAAACCGGCCAGGGCTCGATGTGTCCCTTTCACGTCCATGTTTCTCTCTCTCTTTCTCTTCCTCTCTCTCCCTCTCACTCTATCCGAACAAAAAATGGAAAAATGTCCTCAAGTGAGGATTAAATAAACAAACAAACAAACAAACAAACAAATAAAATAAAAATAAATAAATAAATAATTAAAGGAGAGAGGTTGATGCTATAAAGAAAAGAAACTGGGTGATGTGATTGAGAGTAACTTAGAAACATTACATAGGAGGTCAGGGAAGGACCCTCTGAAGAGCTGATATTAAATGTAATGTGAGCCCTAAAAAATGAGAAGTAATTAGCGTTGCACAGAGGTGGGAAAGGGGGTTCCGGGCAGAGGGAGCAGTATATGCAAAAGCTGAGCTAGGAATGACTTTGCCTGTTCAAGGACCAGAAGGAAGGCTGGAGCAGAGAGTGTTAGGCCACAGGGTATGTGATGACATCGGAGGGGGGTGGGGACTGCCAGCTGGGGAAGGAAATGTGAGTTTGATTTCCATTTTCATGATGGATTAATTGTGGAGAATGAAAGAGAGGGAGGAATCCAGGCGGCTCCTAGACTTTTGCCTGAGACGATGATGCCATCTACTATATGAGGAAGCCTCAAGGAGGAACGGACGGGGTTGGTGTGATGATGAAATCTGATGATGTCAAGTGGCACTGGCTGTGTGATCCTGTAGCTCAGAGGGGAAGCTGGAACCTTTCAGCATGTAGAAGCTGTGGCTCTGGATGAGACCCCCCAGGGAAATCAGTATACAAGAACATCCCACCCCCCCAAATGCCTTTTACCCACTGCCCGCCCTCATATACATGGAAGCTGCTCTCTCAGCGACCAAGTTCTTGAAAGCCGTGGAGAGAATGTATGACTCACTGTCCTTGCCTGTCCCCACTCCTTCCCTGAGAGGGAATCCCTCTGGCTCCCTGCTTGCCCTTCTCACTGATCAAGCCCCATGAATGGATTCGTTAACATGTTGCCTCGGCTGCTTAATTCTCACGCAGACACACACTGTCTAATTTTTACCCCTCCTTGCTGTGTTATCTATACAGAAATAATTTTCTGTGTTCCTTGTTCTCTTACTCACTTTTCTTTGCTGTATTTCTCAACTCAAATCAACTCCAGTAATAGATGTCACCTCAAGAAAAAGGCACATAATGGAATGAAACTAGACACTGGGCCAGGATCGCAAGCCCCGAAGTCTTTGCAAGTATCCAGCCTCCTCTTTGTGGATTTCTAATTTTTTCCATTTTTTTTCTTTATTGATTTTAGAGAGAGAGGAAGAGAGAGGTAAAGAGAGATACAAACATCGACAAGAGAGAACATCAATTGGCCGCCTCCTGCATGCCTCCCACTGGGGATCGGGCCCACAACCTGGGCATGTGCCCTGACCGGGAATCAAACCAGCGTCCTCTTGGTGCGTGGGTCGAGGCTCAACCACTGAGCCACACCAGCCAGGCTCTTTGTGGATTTCATTATATCCATCATTAGTGAACTCCGTATCCTCTTCTCAATAAAGCCACTTTCCATAAGGAACCCTTATTCTAGACAACAGAACACTTCCCAAATCCATGTTATCATTTTCTGAACGAATTTATTAGAATTTCAGCACTATTGTTTTTTCTTTTCCCTTTGTACATGTATACTATTTTAGGAAGCATAATGGACTAAAGGAGTTCTAGTGGCTTAATCTGGAAGACTATTTACTGCTCAAAATAGTGTGACATCATGGAATAGCCACTAGGCTTGGAATCCAGAGTCCATTCCCAACCCTGACCCTGCTGCGTGCGTGACCAGGGACACATTACTTAACCTCTTTGGGCCTCTATTTCCTCACCCACCATGTAAGAACAAGAGCAACCCCCACAGGATTCTCAGAAGGATTAAATAAAGCAATGCACATCCAGTATATGGCCTTCTATATAGTAAATGCTCAATAAACAATTTATCTAGCTGAGTAACTTACAGGGGAAATTAACAACAGACTTTTAGAATGCAACCCATCTGGCCTGGCCGGTGTGGCTCCAGGAGGCCGCCGGTTGGATTCCCAGTCAGGACACATGCTCAGGTTGTGGGCCCGATCCCCAGTGGAGGACATGCAGGAGGCAGCCAATCCATGTTCTCGCTCACTGATGTTTCTATCTCTCTCTCCCTCTCCCTTCCCCTCTCTCTAAAATCAATAAGAAAAATATATAGAATGCAATCCATCTGTAACTGCTTTATTCACCTCTGTTCAGGTGCTCTGTCCCAGAATTCCCTCACCCCTGCCAGGTGTCTGGCTCTCTTCCTTTACTCCTCTCTTTCCCTTGGTGAGGATGGAGAAAGTGGCTTTTAAGGGAAGCCAGGGAATTAATGTTTCCGTAGAAGCAGTTTTGCTGAGTGAGTGATTTGGAAGAGACTAGATCACAGGCCAACAGGCTGACACTCCCTGTGCCCCTTCCCCCAAACCCACCCATCCCTTATCAGGGAGTTGGCTCTAGTTCTGGAACTATGAAATCTTGGACAGAGGGGGAGGAGGGAGGGGAAATTGACTAGCGGCGTCTCCTGTTTCCTGGCTGGGCCTGTGCCTGGTACTTTGGCAGGCAAGGTGGGGTGGAGGGTGGGACAGGGGTGGAGAGCTCTTTCAGGGGTCCATCAGAGGGAAAGTCCTGGGCAGTCCTTTCTCCTGACTCGTCTCTGGGACCCTGTGGGTTGAAGGCATAGCTGAATTCCCGGGAAGCAGTGAGCACGTGTTCACGACACCAGCCAAGAGACACCGAAAGAATGAGAAAAAAAATTTTAAGAATTTGACGTTTTATATTTCCATAAGAGTACTGAAGCATTATTATGGAGATGATCAGGACTTAAGAACTCCCTTATACTTATTTTATGATTAATATACTTATTATGAAACACTTTTAATGACAAGGCAGGGTCACCCTTATCACTATCAGAGCTGAGTGCTCCAAAGGTCTGTTGAGGGGGCTGACCCATGTCCCCGGTGAGGAGGAGGCAGGGTGGGCACACCTCTGCTCCTGGAGCTGTCCCTGATCTCCTCTGTGAGTCCATTTGCTGTGCCTCAGTTTCCCCGTCTGTGTCAGAGCAGGGGTGTGGGGCAGGGGACAGTGTGGCAAAGGGATAGATCCCAGGAAAAGAGGCAGGACTGAGAGGTGGAGCTCTCGTTTTCACCTCGCTCCACACTACTGCCCTGAAGGAGTCATTTTTTTTCAGGCTGCAGTTTTCCTGGGGGCCTGTGTCCTCTCAGGGACTCTCTGAGCTCCACCTGTGCTCTCCCTGTCCCCTTTCCTGGAGGTAGTAGTACCCGGCTGCTCCTCTCTGCTTGCATTTTAAGCACCAGGTT